TGGCACATGAAAGGGTTCCTCCATCAACCTGCCAACAGTGACAGAGTGATGTAACTTAGAAGTGGTTTCTTTCATGCAAAATGTGCTTAATTAAGACAAAAGGCAGACAGTGGAAGTGGATTTGAAATGTCAAAGACCTAACACAGACCTGGCACTGCCTCAGGCCTTGAGGCGGGCCAGCCTGGGCTCCCACTGCTTGCTCTGGCCACTCAGCCACTGTTCTCACAGCAGTCATTCTTCAGACCATCTCAGTGTGTATCTGGCTCATCTGGCAAATGCTCAAGGCTCTCTTCTCACTGTTGTAGTAGATGAGTCCATTTTGATCTTCAGTCCCTCCAATGTGGGTCGCAGGATTAGTGCTAGAGCTCCCATGGCCTCTTCCCAGCAGCAAGATCCACTGCTGTGGTTGATAGAATACTATTGGGCTTGGTCGAGGTTTTGCCTTTCCTGCAACACAACATAACCAAGTGCACAGAGACATGGGCAATATTTACCTAATGAGAGTTGGGGTTTCCCCCAGGCATGTACCTTTTAGGTATGACTGAAAATAGGATTTTCAGTTGCTGCCACTGTACTGTAAAGGGAAATGTCCATTCAAATCTTTTTGTACCAGTTAGTGTAATTCTACACATAATATTATAACACTTTTGAAGAGTTCCTGCTTGGAATTTCCTGAGCTCTCTGTTTTGCAGACATAACAGTGATTTCTTCCATGATCTGAATATGTGGGAAAAAATATACAGAGAAGTGTATACTGAGTGTATATTTGAGGCTGCAAATGATGTATAAGTGAGGGACCAAAAGGAGTATAAGCAAGAATGCAGTGGATGGAAACGCTCTGAGAGAGCACTGTGTCAATTTGCTTTGCCTTTCATTTGTAAATTGTGTGTTGACTGGAGCAATCTGTTGAGAAATTTAAAATATTTGTCTCTATACTTGTGGCAAGAGAATTCCTCTGTAATTTGAAGAATCAGTTAACCTCCATCTTCCTAGGAAACAATGTTCTTAATATCCATAAGCATAATTATTGAGTATTTGCGCCTCTAGTATTTCAGTTTTCCCTTTGTTGTAATAGTTGTGAAGACAAGTGAATTAATGATTGCAAGGAGGTAAGTATCATGGCAAACAATGTGATAGGGATACTTTTCTAGGTAGTCCATCTGTAAAGCCTTAGAACCAGACATGATCTCTTATAGGAGTAAATGCAGTTCTTTCCAAGTACAATTCTCAAACTATAACAAACCATGCCCCTGTAGCAGAGAAAGCATTTCTGTGACTTGGATGCCACTATTCCTAGTCTTGCATCACATATAAATCTGTGTTGAAGTGCAAAGTTCTGAATGTCCTTTCCTGGACTTACTCACGCTGTTTCTGATATTCAGCAAATACACTCAGACTGAGAAGATGTAGTCACAAATATCTTAAAGTACTGTAGCCAAGTCTGTCACATCTCAACTGACAGTCATTAAAATTGCAGCAAAATCTGTAACTATCCAGGTGATTTTCTAATTAAATATTGAAAGTCTCTTTTGAACAGGATTATTAAAAGATATCTTTTTAGTGGAGAATAAATATAATCAAAATTAATATTTCTACATATTGGGCATTTTTCTGTAAGTCCTGTGCACACAATCTACAGTAGGCATTCAGATTACCCTCACCGAGTGAGTTCCATTCTTCCTAAAAACTACCCTGAGGAACACATAAATTGTCTCTGTTTAGTTTTTAAATGCCTTTTCCCTCCCAGTGAAAATTTTCAAAATGCCTAGTTTATATCCTGATTCACAAAAGGATCAATTTGTTTTTCAATAAAGAGGTTTTGCAGGTGTGCATTCCATGATGTGTTTTTCCTCCACCAAAAAAGTGAAAGAAATAGAGCGTATTGTTATTACAAGACCTTGATGATACAAAAGGCTGATTATAATTCTTTTCAGAAGTTATATATAAAATTCTAAGAAAATGTGCATGCATTTTCAGCTCTATTAATTTTTTAAAAAATTGTAATAATGACAAATTCTGTCATTATTACATTATGGTACAATTAAATAATTTAAATCAGTTAACCTCATTTAAATGTCTCTGAACTGTCTAAGCAGTGGCTTCTGAAAGGTTGTGTTCTGATTAACACAAATTAGAAACATAACATGAAAAGAGTACATTTATATGTATGAATCAGGATTTAAATTTCCATTTTGGGAGAAGCAAACCACACCGGTCTCTAAGCATCCTTTATTCCATGTGCTGCACTCAATTATGGTAATCCATATAAAATTACCATTTATTAAACCTTCAAACAAGGTTTATCCCTGCCAAAATTGAAGCAGAGTCAGAAGATGGACTGGGAATCTGAATTATGCTCTCAGTAGACTGAAATATGATACATTTTTAAAATGTAGGCTGTTGTAATAATGTAGGAAGATATCCAAGTAGGGAATTTCCCTTTGTCTGAAAGAATTAAGTGTACAATATAGTCACAAGTAGTTTGGCATACCACCCATGCAAAAATAAACATCTTTTTGATTGCACTAAATTAAATTTAAAAAAAAGTCTTTTAGCCTTTTAGATCTGCCAAACATAGCAAATTAAAAGAAACAGGTGTCAGCAAGTTTCATTGTCTAGAACAAATTTGTGTTGAGAGATCAAAGGAACAAGTTCAGTACTTTAAGGTAGGGGAAGTAGTAAAAAAAACCCAACAACTTAAAATAATTGTCTTCCTTTAATGCTTACATTCTTTAAGTGATCTAAATTCTTACTTGTTGTATAGAATCTAACACTGTATACATGTATTTAGAGCCTCTTTTATCCTTTATCCACAAAAATTATATTTAAAGTTGTAATGCTAGTAAACTGAATGATAAATAAATCCAAAGGAGAAAAATAAAAATAATTAATATAAAAGTATTTTTTATTTTAAATATGATAAAGAATCCTACAAAAAAAAATGCCTTTGATGTTTTAGCCTTATGTGATTATTAATTAATTTAAATATATTTATTTCTCTTCATGCTGTAGGCATCTGTTCAATGGAAAGCAAATTTAAAGCAAGATGATTACACCAGTTGTCTTTCAATCCTTCACTGGCAGATGGCTTTAAAGGCAGTTTAAATTGCAAAAATATGGGGAAAAAAGTCAACATAGAAATTGATTATGCAACGGTTTAAAAAATTACAATAGGACTTGATTTAGCTTGTGTATGGGCCATATGTATTTGAAAACATAAATTTATGTTTTCATCTGTAGTGTTATACACATTGCAAGAGGGAAAATATACACTGATGAGTTAACTGAAATAATTTTCCTCACTGCATATGAGGAGTGAGAAGGACCAGGTTCGTATGTACTATCACAGCACAGGCATGGTCTTTATTCCATGATTTTTTTCTGGAATTTCTTCAGTTTTTTTATGGAATTATTACTTTTTCTAACATTTAGCTATCATAACGGAAGCATCTAATTTAAGATAATCATCGATTTTCAGTCAGGAGGAAAGATATGCATGTCATTTATCCAATCTCTTTTGGACATAGAAGGTCCTGCTGGTGATGTTTGCCTCCAATTTTTACAGAAGAGATCAGATAACCACTTTAATATCAGCTTTTAGCACATTGGCTTTTCCATTATCCTGGTCTGTGCAAGACAGATAAGTTCAAGATTTTCAGCTCAGCTATTGTAATTTTTGTGCCTTAAGCCAGTGGATAATAGCAAACGCTGAAGGGTTAAGCTTAGCTCTGTACAGGGGTCACAGGTCAGGATTTCAAGCAAAAATTTTTATGGGTAGGAAAAGTACTCAGAATATTCTTGTAATATACAGATACCACTTCTCCCTAAGGATGTCAGAACACTTACAGTCTAGCAGGAAGGGTTCTGTTTTATCTGGTACCTAACTGGTCATTTAGAAAACAAATCTGATTATTTGAGGACAAAAAAATGTTATGTCTGTTCATATTTTAAGAGGTATTACTAGGACTTGAATCCAAGGTTAATAATATAGTTCTGAATAATTGCACAACAGTGCTATTTATGCACCTTTATTTTTTAAATGCATTTTATTTAATTTTAGCAAACATGACTCCATTCTCTAGAATATTACCATTATCCTTTTCCAAAAGAAGAGTTAGCATGAAATCCACCAAAAATTACATCAAGAATTACTGCCTTATAAGTATTAGTATGAGTATTAGTATAAGTAAATAAGTATTAATTCACAGATACCTGGAAAACTGTCTGTGAACATGTTCTGTAATTGAGAGGTTAAGTTGGATATTGTAAACATAAAAGCATAAATATAAGGATTAGGCATGCGCATATTTCTCAGAAGCAGTACTACTGAGTTTCATGTTGTCCACTCAGAAAAAGAATAGTACAGAGAGAAGTCAGCTTATTTTCCAATGAGTGAGATTTTCGATACCACTACCAATAAATAAAGCAATATCTTTAACATAAAAAACAACTTGAAAATGTGTTAAAATACTTTATTTACATGTTTTTCCTATCAAATATTGCTTAAAGTATGTGTTGCAGTTACTAACTGGTGAAAAGTTGAGAAAACTAACACTCAATTTTACATCACTTGTGTTTGATTCATATTTTTTGTCCCTGTGCTCCTACAATGCCGTGTTGTTGTCAACTGTGTTCAGTACAAAAGGATTAATCTTACCCTTGCAGTTATCAGTTTCCTAATTTATAACCAAGAGTTCTTCCATGTTTCAAGGTGGAAATTAAAAAAATAAATTAGTACAAAGTAAAAATAGAAGATAAAACAAGACTTAACACTGAATCTCCAGTCATTTATTGGCTCCTTTATATCCATCATGGTCCTTAATCATTTTTTCCATTTCCCTGAATGTGTCAACCTAATACTGCAGCTGCTACGAATGGCCAGTTTGGTATCATAATGTCACTAGATTGCCTGCAGATGTCAACAGATGTCAACAGATTGCCTTCTCAGTGATTTTTGGTTTTCTTATACATATTGACCATTTACTTTCTGTCTCTTGCAGATTGTAGCTTTGCGTGAACAAAATGCACACATTCAAAGGAAAATTGCAGCTGGTGAAGGGCCTGCTGAATCAGAACATATTGAAGGAATGGAGCCAGGGCAAAAGGTTCATGAAAAGGTATAGAATACTAGTTTTCATTGGAATACACAATCAATATGAAAAATAATCCAATATATTATTTTTTAATGTGAACATTTTATGAGACTTTCATTTACAGTGTTGTTTGCCAAGCGTGAACATCAAGCTTCTTCAAATGAAAAGCAAATGCAAATGGGCAAGTCCTAGCTTTCTGGTAGGATATTGAGTTAGGTCTCCAAGTTATAATAAAATTTTATTGGATTTTTTAGCAAAATACTACAGTTAAGTACAATATATTCTGCTGAGTGGTCCTATCTATGTCATAGACAGAAAAGCATAGTGTACTTGTACATACATATGAAAGTATATATATGCAAAAACTGCTGCCAAAATAGCCCATAATGGAATGAAAAAGAAACCTAAAAACTATAAAAGATAATTTTCCTTTGTGCTACCTACCAACGTGTTGCCAATTCATATTCTTTTTTATGTAGAGAAAAGTGAAGAACATTTTACTTAGCATTTTTTCAGTACAAACTAGCTGAATGTTAAGACAGTATGATTCATTTTTTCTAAGCAATATGAAAGGTCTTGTAAGTGTATGAAGTGATGCGTTGTTTCAGAAATCTTTAATCTCTTTCATTTGCTATTTTGAATTAGCAATCACTTTAATCTATCTCCAACCAACAGTCATGGTCAGGTTGGGTGAAAAAAATTTTTTTGCCCAAAAATTGACTTCAGTTTGAAGAATAATTCAAGATAGCAAAATAAAAGATTTGCCTTTCTGAATTTATTATTACTAGACTTAAAAACAAATTGGCGTACCTGAACTTGTGATTGAATTTCACACACCATCTACCATATGTAACTGGAATAGCACAGTGTGTTCTCTACTCATGCTATAAACTAAGTCCTTTTAATGCGGTGCTTGCTGTCCCAGCTGTCCCAAAAAATAAGATGCTGAGATTAAGAATCTTTTTTCTCTTTTTTTTAAGTCATTCTTTGCTGATGTTTATTTCTACTACTATATGAGTCATTAAAATTGAGTTATTGAATAAAATGGAAAGTTTTCAGAAATGATTGTATGCATTTGGGAAATTACTTCAGAAAGTATTTCATTTTCTGATGTGTGTATACCTTGTATATTAACTGTCATAGTATATCCTGCACTTACAATGGCGTGTTTCCTCTACGCTCCAAAATTTATTGCCTATTTCTGGAAAATATAGGAGAATATTCCATAGTAAGTTCCATGCTGAATCTTTTAATTCAAACATATAATAAAAAATTACTAAAATTATTCTGAAATTACTGGAATTTTATCTAGGATGAATTTGCCTGAGTAATGACTTCTTATCTTCATGGACACCCTGTATGCATAAGAGGGTTACTGTTTGACAGAGCACTTCAGGCAGATTTTGTTACACTGAAGATGAAAGCTCATCATTTAAGTGCAGTGTTAATCAGGGTTTTCCTTGGAAATGCACTGTTTCTATTTTTTAAACTTAATTGCTGTTATTTGTAACGATAGCTTTTAAAACTGGACACAATTCAAAACCAGTTTGTCTCTATTTGATGATTATATAGATATATGTTTCTTCCTAGCCTTGACACTATCATCTTCCAATAATTAAATCAACTGCCTGTAGCTTATAAATACTAAAATCTGTTAAAATATTGACAGTGGTTATAGACATTGCATCCAGTATAAAAGGTATTTTGCCCAAGCAAACTCAGAGTAGGCTGAAGTGTCAAGAAGGTTTTGGTTTTGCAAATCAAACTGAAAAAAAGGAAATAGTAATTTAAAAAGTAGATGATATCTTTCAGAGCAGTCATCAGAATCTGTTCTACTTTGGGACCAGAATATTGTTTGATTCTCTGATCATTTTGGTCAGTAGAAAACTGCAGAAGAAAACTTTCAGTTGATACTTAATAATTTATTTCATGTGTACTCCTTTGCTCTTTCATTTTAATTGGCAGCATAGGTGAGCAGCAGAGAACAGAATGAAGGCAGCCTTCATCAGAAGCAACAGTTTAAATAGGACAAAGCTTGGATTCAACACTGGCTGTCAAAGGGATGTTCATGATTTAGAGACAGTTTGTTATAAGGATCATTTGTTTTGCTGCTTAAGTACAATCATGATGCATAATAATAGTTGCAGACACAATCTCATCCCAAAGCATTCAATTCACACTGTAAATTAAGAAAGTAGTATGCTTCAGACACAGAATAATTTTCATAATCAGATGTTGGGTTAGTATCTAAGCTGTGCAGGTACTGGGGGGATTTTCTAATAATCCTCTTCCGAATAAATATTGATTATCTAATGTTAAAAGTGTGTGTGTAGGAAGATTTGATGAAGATTGAGACACCTGGAAAAATAAGGACTTGCCAGAGAGGAAAGAAAAATGGGGAAAAACTGCAGCAGGCTCTAGAAGCCTTCATGAATCTAAGCTGTCAGTCCTTTTAATGGAGTGTTCATAGTGGAATATCATGCAGTGTTTCCCTTTAAAGAGGCTTTAGGCAAGTATTGGTGGAGCCCCAACCCCTGCTTGCGTTTAAGAGACAAGGGTATGGCATGAGGAACATGATTTAATGATGGGATTTGATGATCTTGAAGGTCTTTTCTAATCCATTCTCTGATTTTGTGAGCGCTGTTGTGCTTAGTAGCTGAGTGTGTCTGCATAAAAATCACAGAATGGATTGGGTTGGAATGGACCTTAAAGATCATCTAGTTCAAATCCAGCTGCTATGGGCGAAGTTGCCAAGCACTATGACTGTGAATATTTAATACTCAACACTACAGCTCAGGCATCTTATGATGCTGAAAAGCTGCATTAATTTTGCAATGTTTACACAATAAATCAATAGACATTCATTCAGATCTTTTAATTTTCAGAAGAGTTTTTTTTTTTTTTTTTTTTTTTCATGTAAGTTAACTTGTCTTTCAGTCATATAAACTTATTTTCACATTTCCTTATAAATTTCTGCTTATCAAGATTATCGAAGCATTGCTTTAGAAGTCTTATTATCTATGGGAATTTTATTCCCCCCCACCCCTCCAAAAAAAAAAGAAAAGTACTTTTTACCAAGGAAATGGTGTACATTGCTTATGAAGCATAGGAAGGCTCTCATACCTCAGTTACTGCCCAAAATTCACACATAGTTTCACAGCTGCTAGCACTTGCTATCTTCTGATGGAGAAAGAAGTCTCACAGTGTGGTTCAAGAGTCTTTCTTTAGGTTGAGATGCCATCATCATGTGACAAGTACCCCAGAGGCCAGTAACCATGAGCAGTAGGGTCACAGACTCATAGCAGGTAGGAGATTTGTCATATCTGGAAGCAGGTCAGTGGAGCATAATCTAGTCTACAGAAACTTCTGCAGTAATGAGATTTTGACACTTAGAAACCATTCCTCTCATTTTAGTCTTTCGTAAAGATTGTGTCACTTTCTGAAATCAGTTCCTTGCTGAACCTTAGCTTGTATCTATCCTCTTATTTTTTACCTGTGTTTTAGATTATTGATTTCCTATCTAATTTCATACCAACAAAATAAAGTAAAATTGCCTACACTTGTATTCTTTAGTTATGTGTATTTTAAATATTTACATTGGCAAGGTGTCACATTGTTAGCAAATAGAACATAGCGTCTGCAAATGTTTGAAATGCTATTTTAATATAAATTTTTTGTGCTTCATGTCAAGAAAATTATGTAAAATCAAAAGAATATTTTTCCTTTGTTTTTCAACAGAAGTTTTCAAGTTTTCAGTTCTTAGTTCTAGTGTAACATATGTCAGAAGTTTTCTGGGTTTATGCTTTGCACTATTTACCAAGCATAGTCAGCCAAACTACAGCAAGTACTCTCAAAGAACCATGGCACTGTATTGACTTGAGAACATAGCAAAGACTTCAGTTTTGATGCTGGTGATTTATGGTGTGACCAACTTAATACTCCATTAGAGAAAAAGGTTAGGAAAGAGTAGACAAAATGCAAATGCTTTCAAGGTTAAAAAAAAAAAAAAGAGAGAGAGAGAGAGTGAATGGAAAACAAAAAAAAGCAGTTACTTACAGCATAAAATATTAGTTTGTTGAAGAAATCAGTCTTCTCAATTTTACTCTTGATTTTAATTATTCAGTGGCACTTTGTGGTTAGACAGGATTGAATTTAATCCTCAGGCCTGAATGTGCTTATGCACAGGGACATCATGTGAATCACCTGCACCTATCCTGCCATAATCTGAGAGACACAGAGGAGGAGTTTTATCAAGTAAATGAATTCTGTCTCAACTGCTGACTGTTTGGGAGTAATCCTGTGAGATAATCTTTTTTTTTTTCCTTCTCCCAGCACTCCTACATAAACTTCTAGTGCAAAATATGTAACTACTGGCTTATAGTACCTACCTAGCCCAAACATACCTTGGTCAGTTGGTTTACAGCTGCAGACAATTTGTTGCTTGGAGGTTCTCTGTCCTGTTCTCGGGATTCACCATTGCTAAATTATGTTCCTGTGCATAAATTGCTACATTATAACTCAATCTAGGTATATTTTTACAGGAGTTATCTCCTTTAGAGTGTGTTGGCTTAGTCTTATTTTACACTTTCTCTTGTTTTACTGTCATTCTTGGATGTTTGTTTTGTTTTGTTTGTTTTTGCTAGTAAACCAGGCTGCAGCTGATTTTTCTTTTGGTTATTTCAATGCAGAGAGAATGATATAGGGAGAGATTGTTAGGTATAACGCTCCAATTTATTGTTCTCCCTGCTTTTCCTTGAAGAAAAAAATAGGATTTACCAAAGCCATACAAAAAAATTGTCAAAAACTGAACACAACTTAATGCAACTTAGTTCTTGCTTCTAACCAGTGTACAGTCATTACCCTCTCTGACTTGATACTGCACCATTATCATAATCCTTTCTCCCATTTTACTCAGAGATACTTATGAGTTTCTTATCTTTATCTGGGAATTTTTGGCTTATGCTAGAACATACACTGGACACAAATCTATGGGGCCAGACGGATAACTGAAGGAGCTGGCAGAAGTGGTTACCAAGCCACTTTCGATAATTTATCAATAGACCAGGTTACCTAGGGAGGTCCCAATTGGCTGGAGGTTAGTGATTGTGATGCCCATCTGCATGGAAGGCAGGAAGGGGTATCCAGGGAATTATAGGCCAATTAAATCCAATTACAGACCTGCCAGCTAAAGCTCAGTGCCATGGAAGGTTATAGAATAGATAATCTCAAGTGCCATCACACATCATGTACAGGACATCCATGTGATTAGACCCAGTCAGCACAGATTTATGAAAGGCAGGTCCTGTTTGACTCTCCTAATCTCATATGACAAGATGATTCACTTAGTGGACAAAATGCAGTGAATGTTGTTTACCTGGATTTCAGGAGAGCATTTATGTTCCACACAGTATTCTACCAGTGGAACTGGCTGCTCGGGAGTTGTATGGATGCAGTGTTCACTGGAGGAAAAACTGCCATGATACCAACAAGTATTCATTGTGAACCATGTAAAATTAAATTGTCAGTCACTCAAAAGTGGCATTACTCACCACTCAGCATTAGGACAAGTTTTGTTTAATATTTTTGTCAATGATTTTATGAGGGAATAGAGGATACTCTGAGTAAATTTGCAGATAACAGCAGGCTGGATGAAATTCCTAATCTATTTGAGGGTAGAGAGGCTCTGCAGGGGAATCTGTATAGGCTAGATGGATGGGATGTGTCCAATTGTATGGCATTCAACAATCAGTACAAGGAGGATATTGAATTTCTTGAGGGTATGCAGAGAAGAGAAATAAGGCTGCTGAAGGGACTAGAAAACAAGAAATATGAGAGAATTGGGACTGTTCAGTCTGAAGTGGAGGAGGCTGAGAGGAGACTTCATCACTCTCTACAAGTACTTGAAAGGAGGTTGCAGCAGGTATCAGTCTATCTTTTTCAAGTGACAAGTGATTGGGCATGAGGAAATGGGCTCAAGTTGCATCAGGGAAGGTATAGTTTGAATCAGGTAGAATTTCTTCATGGAAAGAGTGGTTAGGCATTGGTAGTGCAGTCCCAGTCACTGGAGGTGTTTAGGTACATGGTTTAGTTGTGAAGATGGAAGCCTTAGGTGCATGATTAGGCTTTCTGACGTTGAAAGTCTTTTTCGCTAGAAATAATTCTATGATTTCCACAGTGTCTCTGGTTCCCATGAAAGCATTTATAATCAATGTGCTGTGATTTCTAGTACATATTGGAGAGCTTAAAATTGATGAAAAACAGTAGTAATAAGGTACTAAGAAGGAGTATTATAACATCATTTAGTTTTCATATTCATATTCATTGTATTATATTGTATTATATTGTATTCTAGTCTAAAACAATAACTGAGATGATGAGAAGTTGTCCAGTTCTGCCTTTTTCAATTACTTGATGAATAGTGTGTGGAGGTCACAGATCCACCTCCCCTGTCCTTTCTAATAGAATTTTACCATTACTGCGCTTCAGAGGAAGTTCTGAGAGTCTAAAAGCATTTACCCTGTTTGATCACTGTTCTCTTTTAGCTAAATGTGTCCTTCCTTGGCAAGGCCCAGTATACTCTTTTAAACAATGTGCTGATTGTCATGTTTCTTTTATATAGGAAATTAGCCATTGTTAAATAGTTTTCTTTCATGTCAATTTTTTGAAATTAGAGTTTATGTTCATCTGTGGCTTTTTAACAACAGCATTTGAATAGACAGCATCATGAAGTTTGCTGAAGATTTTATCAGGATGCTATTTCTTGCATGCACTAGGAATTTGTAGTGAGGATGAGACAGAAAAGATTGCCTACTTAGAAATATCTTTTTCTTACAAGTTCTTCAAACAAGATTTCCCATGGTGCTTCAGCTGATAGTTAATAGCAATCTATTAAGAACATTCAACATCATAAGCATCTAGCTGCTTATTTATATTTATTTCTTAGAATTTTATGTCCTAAGAAGTATTTCTGCACCAAAAAAAAAACAACCAAAAAACAAACAAAAAAAAATCCAGATACTACATAAATAAATAATTAAAAAATTAGAAAGAAGAGAGAGAGAGAGCATGAAGTAATGATATCTCAGTTAGGTCTTGAGTTAACATTTAACTTTCTGCCTGTGAGGTTTTTGAGTGATTATTCCATGTGATGTACCCATATTATGGACAAATAAAATAGTATAAAGACACAAAAGTGACAAAATGTCAGTTCAAATCCAATGTCATTTTGCCTAGGTATCATGCAAGTAGATCGATGATGGTTCAGTGTCATAGAGTTTCAATTTCAATTTTTATGCGATACATAAAGCAGTTTTGGAGCTGAGTTATGTGACGTAGTGAATTCTTAGAGTAACACAGTTTTATTCAGTGACCCACAGAAAGGCAGATGGTCTTGATCTGGGTTTGTTTTCTGTCTTATTGGGGAAATAATAATGTCAAAAGCCATTAAACAAAGTAATGTTCTTTGAATTTATTAGATTTCCCTATAAGCATATTTTGACAACAATAAGGCACAAGAGCTAATGAGTGAAAACTTGTTTTCCTCTTAGATCTTCCAAATCATATTTTGTATTTGTCTTGCTATACACCTTACCATCTCACAAACAACAAATACACAATATTCTTGAATGATGTTCTTTGAGACTGATAACCTGTGTAAATTAACAGTTACAGTGAAATAATTTAATTTTCTACTGTGCGATATAACTTTAACTAGTAAAATTGCACCTAATCAAGAAAAGTAATAATAATTTTGTCATTGATTTTGTTTTTCTGTTTTATAGCTCAAAAAAAGCTCATCATTGCTTGGATTGATCTTCTTACTTCTGTTGTTGTTGCTTTGACATAAGAATTAAATTCATGTGAAACCATGGCTTAGCCTATGTTGGGAAAGGTTAGCATGACTATATATTGTAATAAAGAAATGCCAGTAAGTTCTGCTGGTGAACACACTTCTTTCCTGGAATCATTTATGTGCAACGTATTTCGTATTCCTAAGATCAGTTTCCAAATCCAGTAAAACATTCTGGACTTGTTATTTTTCTTTAAAACAGTATTCACACAGGCCTCTCAACAGTGCATAAATTACTTTGGCAGAACTAATCTCTAATGTAGACTTAACCATTATATTGACCAGACTCTTGGAATGTTCTAGTAATATGAATTTGTGACTTATTAGAGTTGCCTGCTGTTCTATGGCTTATTTTGCAAATGGAATAAATACTGAGTAAGTCTAAATGGTGCACAAGTTTATCTTAAGTGTATACATTTTAGTTCATAGTACTGCTACAACTTATATTTGAATTGCCATAGTGACAAACTAGAACTATTTTAATGTACCATTCTGCTGTTAATGCAAATATTTACATCTTTGTGTTTTTACATTATAGAATATTTGATATTAATTAATATTGATCTTTTTCAGTTTTTAGTATACATACCTCTCACCCACAGTGAAAATTGTTGGTTTTTTTTTCTTCTTCTAACTCCTATTGTAATGTTTACAATAATCTTGACTTTAGAAATTCTTTATATAGGGTCTATATTAAAAGAGAAATAATATATAATGTCACTTCTCTATTAACAGCGCTTGTCGAATGGCTCCATAGACTCAAATGATGAAACCAGTCAAGTTATAGAACTCCAGGAGCTACTTGAAAAGCAAAACTATGAAATGGCACAAATGAAGGAACGTTTGGCTGCACTGTCATCCCGGGTGGGAGAGGTAGAGCAGGAAGCAGAAACTGCCAGGAAGGAGCTCATTAAAACAGAAGAAATGAACAGTAAATATCAGAGAGACATTAGAGAGGTAAGGAGTTCAGTATATATACCTCACATACCTTGCCATTTTTTCCTCGTATACTGATACAAGCTGACAGGGATCAATCAATATGAAAAGCAAACTTGAGCAATGACAAATGCCCTTGGACAAAGGAAACACAACATTTACAGTAAGAAATAATTGTACAAATCTTGTTAGAAAACTGTATTCATAGAAGTGGGTGTGTATATGTGCAACTATAATAGGAAGATCTCTGTGTTTTAGAATTGCTAGAGCACAAATTGGCAATTATTTCAGCCATTTCCACATTTTAATGCTGAAATAGATTTAACAGAGATGCTGGTCATGTAGATAATCATTTTTTAAAACTTTGGGCCATTATGTAAATAACAGCATTTAATTTAATCATTTATTATCTGTAGTCTTCTGCGACAGCTTCATGTTCCAATACGTTATTCACTTCTCTCAATAAATCAAGCTAAGAAATTTTTCACTGCTGTATATAAGCATCAGAGAACATCCATGTCTTGCATGGAAATATATTGCAGTTTTTTTCTTTTTTACTCTAAAAATTTGTGGCTCTCCATGGTACTCTCCAGAATATCTTATGTAGAACTTGATATGTGTGAATGGTTGACTTCTGGAACCTATTTTAGTATTTAAAAGTAGAGTAATTGTCTGTAACATTCCTTTCTACAGTACAGGTATTTTATTCATGTGCATGTTATTTGTTTGTGTGTGTTTGCACATTATATATATGTTTAACCTGGTATTCCTAGTTATCTGGCAGAAATGTTCCCTCTGAACTTCTGACACTACTGCAACATGAAAGCATCTTCTCATCTGTGTGCTGTTTCTTTTAAAATACTGTATGTTCCTTATAAGGTTACAACAAAGTTTGCACTGATGTTTCTCCTTTTCGACAGCTGCTCCTTATAGAAGGGTGTCTAAATTCCTCACTCTCATTTACTTTCTGACAATTATTGCTGTTTCCTGTATGCCTTGATTGCTGCTTGCTGTTGCTGCCACTTCTGTCTTGCTTACTCTTTGTTTCAATCCTTTGCTTCCTAAGAGAAGTGGCCACTAACACATTTTAATCCTTATCCATAACATATATGGGTAATGTACTTGTATGTCATGGCTATGTTATGTATCCAGCACTGTGCTCATTTGCATTGTGCAATTTAAGGAAATGTCATCTGCTGTCTGTTATGTGTAATTTGGCATAAATTTTATCAGAACCTAGGAATAACAGTAGGTATGCATATACATTTTTCACAGTATCGCCATCCTACATTTGTATTATTATGCAATAATTATGCTTTATAATATTATAATATTATAATTGTAATATTATGCTTACCATTTTCTGATCAAATAACTGTCACTGTTTAAAAAGCAAACAAGTAAACATAAGCCAATTTTGCTGTGCTTACTAGCATGAAAAAATGTAGAAATTAGAAAAATATACAAAATTTGGGAATTGTTTTTCTGCTCTACTCAACAGCTACCACTTTAAGCATCTTTGGTGCATCAAACCTGAAAAGGATTAATTTCTCCTTAAAACAGAAAAGTCATGCTATACATATCTTATGTACTGTTTGCTGTTAGCAGGAAGAGTAAACTGGTATAAAATTATGTGCCCTTTTAATTGAATGGTTCTTGATTTTTTTTTTTTTTTATTTCATTTTAGGCAATGGCACAAAAGGAAGATATGGAAGAAAGGATCACTACACTGGAGAAGCGCTACCTCAGTGCACAGAGAGAATCCACCTCCATACATGACATGAATGACAAGCTGGAAAACGAACTGGCAAACAAAGAAGCCATCCTACGTCAGGTGCAGTATCTGTATTAGTCTGTTATTTTCTTCATATATAATAAAAATTAACATGAAAGGTGGGGTGTATCTAATGCATGAGATTTTTACTGGGTTAACCTGCTCCTTTTTTAAATCATGTTGATCTAAAAAAAAAAAATGTTTGTTTTTTTCTTCTCTAAGCCTCATGTTAGCTACTACGACTATGAAAACCAAGCCAATGTGTGCATTCAATGCTGTGAAATAACTGTGTTTTCTAAGTGTCTTGCATAAATGTACAACGTCACAGTCCATAGGGAAAGGATCGTCTTTGTTTCTTATGTAATGATTTTCTAAATTTGGGGTTTGTTCGTTTGTTTGTTTGTTTTTGAAAGAAAAATGAATAAAAAAGGATAGCGAAAAGAAACTTACTTCTGTGGGAAAAAAAACCTCACAAAATTTACATGAAATGGTAGCACATTAAGTGTTTAGAATCTACGATGTAATTAAGATTTTATGAAGATAAACTATCTATGAATATCTTTTAGAAAAGAGCATAATGGAATTTTGCATTTGTCTATTGTGGTGAATCCAAAAGCTGAAGCATAATGTCAGTAGAAAACACTTTTAAATTTTGAGGAATACAAGGTGAACTAAAATAATATGAAGTTAATATCATTTAAAATGTAAAAGATGAAACTGCCCTTAATCTCACCTTCGGTGTCCCAAGTTTTTATTTTTCCTCACCTACCATATCTTAAAAAAAAAAAAAAAAAAAAAAAAAAAAAAAGTGGCATATGGGATAATCTATTTCTATGATTGTATGCAAATTTAGTTACACACATATGCACACATAACTCTGCATATACACTTACATATATGTAACTGACTACATAGTCACGGAAATCAAAGTACCAGAACTCAAATACTGCAGCTTATGCCAGTTTCTTTTGACTATTTCAAGATACATCTTCAGTTCTTTGGGGCAGGCAGGTTAGAAAGGAACGACGGAAAAGCAAAGTACACCCATCTGTCCTTAGAGTCTTCATTACTGGTAATGTAAATCATACTGTGCTATAGAGATCTACCTACTCAGTGATCAATACAACCACATCTTGAATATATGCAAGCAGACTTTAAGCTCATTTGGAAGATTTTCATATGACAAGCCTATTTCTTCATGCTTTTGGAGAACTGACAAACAATCTCATATCCCACTCCTTTCTCCTGATGACTTCTATTACTTGGAACAAACAGGAAAGCAGGTAACAATTATCCATCCATTAGAAAATTCTAAATCATGGTAGATCTCAGTAGGACAGAAAATAACTGCAGTTATCAAAAGCCCTACTGTTTCTCTTCAATAGTTTTCACATATTAAACAATTTCACGTTTGTATAATGAGACAATTATAGCTTCACAATGAATAATTTCATTGAAACCTTAAGTAACTAGCAACCATTTTTTAATAGTGAACAAATTAGTTGAGTGTCAGTCTTAACATTTCTAATTACATTGTTGGCATTTGTTCAGCAAATTCACAGGGAGTTCTGTCCTTCTGGAATTGTACTTCTTTCCCATTTTAGCTTGTATACATAAACTTTTCTGTAAGGTGGATGAAATACTTCCATTTAGAAATTTCTCATTTTACTGGCACCAATACTTTTATTTTGCTTAGATAAACAACACATCGACCAGAGGAAGTTTTTATTCATCTTCATAAGTACCATTTTATGATACCTTTTTTTCACCATCATATGATCCTGAAGCCTCAAATCACTCATCATTAATAAAACTGGCAGCCTACACAGTTCCATGCTTGAGGTAAAACTTTTCCAGTAAGTTCCCCCAGGTTGTGGAATACCTAAGCCTTTACAATGAGTTTTGATTGCTTCCCTGATACCTAAGTAATTGAAGGAAAGTCTTTATTCTAATTTCACTGTTTATAATTTTTCATCTATCTTTGGCCTTCAGCTGGAAGACAAAAACAGACAGCTGCAAGAGCGTCTAGAGTTGGCAGAACAGAAGCTCCAGCAGACAATGAGGAAGGCAGAAACCTTACCTGAAGTGGAGGCTGAACTGGCTCAGAGAATTGCAGCTCTGACTAAGGTACTGCCCTGAGAAGCAGGTTCATTTCAGAAGCCCCATTGTTTAACATTAATTTGCATCTTGATTCCTCAAGGACAAAAGAAAAGAAGTGTTGAACTGATTTGAAAACATATGTCTTCTGATAAGTATGTGCCACAAGTTCAGTATTAACCAGAAATGGTATCGTTGCCATGTTTCCAATTCTTACCTTTTGATAACAGACAAAATAGTTCCCTGTAAGATAACCTACGGTATATTTCCAATATATGCAAACATTAATTAGCCTGGGGAGATCTATTTTACTGTGCAAGAGTTAATGATTTAAGGATTTTTTTTTTAAAATAAAAGACATATTCCTTCTCATACATATTTCTGAACATTTTCACACATCAGTTGTAGGAAACAAAAAATATTCCAATGAGAGCCACAGAAACAAAGCATAATGGCAGCTTTGTACAACACAAACGAAGACAACTTGCAGTACATACTTACAGGGCTTGTTTGCATGGTTATTTGAATTCAAAAAGAGCAATGTGAAACTAGGGAGTTCAAACTGTGTATTCTGTGATAACAGGTTATTGCAGAAAAATAGAAGGTAAAAACAAACTTTTAGTAAGACAGTTTTCATATTTGTTCACTAATATTTTCAGGTGTGCGTGTGATTAATACTGCAGTTAAGGTATTTCCAGCACCGTAAGGACATGTAATATAATGACAGACTGCATATTCTGCATATTCAAATCATGGAAATTAAAATGCATTTAAGAGATTAGTACATAGCACTGTTTTATCTTAGCTATCATTTCTCTGTTGCCAATGACTGTTTCTACTGTTTCTAGACATTTATATTCCCAGTAATTTTCATATTTAATGGATTTACTTTTCAATTTTCATGTATTTCACTTCATAGTAAAGCCTTATGTGCAGAGCACCTCATTAATAAAGCTTGATTACAAAAAATTTAGTTAAGAAGTAGAAACAGAAAAGTTTTGGAAGGATTTTTTAAAATGTTTTATTAAGGCAAGATCATTATTCAGTAATCAAGATTTTGTGCTGTCCACATTAGGTTTATATGAATGGGTGGGATTCTGAAGGGCAGACTGAAAATGGTGGGAAAAAAAAAAAGCAGCAGCAAAAAGAAAACCACTTGAAATATTAAAAAATATAACTGCATTTTAACTAAGAATCAGAAAGAAAGATGCACAAAAGTTCAATCCCTTGACAACGTTTTTTTTTTTCAGTTGTATTTGATTCAACAAATATTCAGATTATCTAATAGCCTTAGCAGTTTAAAAATACTATCTTTTATTTTAAATAATTTTTCCTGAATAACTTCTCCAGCAATTAGGCACCAGTAAGTGTTTTGCAGTCTCAAGTATGTCTTTTGTTGCAACTGCATGTTTCCTTGAACATAAATTAATGACAAATATTGTAAAAATAAGTCTCATTTCAATGATACAGAATACTCAGAAGCTTCCATAAGATACTGCTGTTATTGTAACCATAAAGCTGCAGTAGATGTGATTAGAGATCGGAGAAAAGAGCTGATGGCCCACCCCATTTCACTTTGATGTATGTTTTCAAAGCTTTTGCCAAGAAAGTAAATCTAAGGTGTACATCTGACTGTAAGGCTAGCTCATTCCATTCTTCTCTAATTACAAAAAAAAAAAAAAAAAAAAAAAAGAAGAAGAAACTAATTGTATTTAAAATTCTATATTTTTGGAACACATGCCATGAAGAAGAATGTCAGAATACAGGCTACATAAGGCTATGGTTTATATATCTTCTGTATTACGTTTGCAAACTATAGAACTTATTAAAGTGTTGCACTGACAGCTCTGAAACTTCAGGCCCTTTGCTCTTCATGAGTCACATAAAGGTAGTTTGGAACCAGTCACTGCAGCTTAAGTTGTTTTATGTTGTCTAACTGGCATAGTTACCTCCCACCTACTCGAAAGATGCAAAACCTATCTGAGGGACTGAGTAATGCTAGGCCATTTTATCTACATTGAGCTTTCTTCCAGCATAAAAATCATTCGTAGTACTTAAATTAGCTGGCTTCAGGCTGCCTTAAGTCTGCCTACCTGATCTGTGGTCGCTGCAATGACAATGTGCATTAAGTAGAAGATGAGTCCCCTGATTCAACTACCCTTTCAGCTCTGCAAAAAATTCAAAGTTTTGATTCTCCTTTCTTTTGTACTACCTCAATGAAAGTGGCTTCACTGAGATTAATGGGGTTACAATCATGTGAAAGAGGTGAGTTAAGCCTAATGTGTTTTACATGTTTATCAAAGGAAAGTACTATCGGACAACTGGAAACCATGACTGCTTCATTGTGGGTAAAATATAAGACTGGTTATTTACACATGGACAAAAACCAGAACAAACATATTTTGGAGTTGGATGTGATATTTTTTTCTCACATTTAAAATATGCATGTTGCAATTCTGCATTCAATTTATTATACTCTTCCTCATAATTAACCTGGGTTGGGATTCTGCATTCTGTAGAATGAGATCCTTCTGTTGTATCAGTTTAAAAACTTGAGTTACTTTTCTTTCTTTCTTTTTTAATATGGGCTAGTGAATGTCTTTTGCTACTTTTCCATACCCAAACTAGTTCATAAGGAGTGAACTTCCAAAAGTTTGGACTGTACAGTGAACTCAGATAAGTACTCATAAATTTACCTGAATTATTCAAACTTTTCTTTGGCTTTGTTTTCACTGTGTTCTGCCCATTGGGTGAGCAACTGGAGGGTTAGTCAGCCTATGGCAAACTAACCTGGAACAGCATGATCCCATGTACTGTGCTGTCCTGCCTGGCTGTCACACTGGCATTCTGTCTGGTCATGACAAGTAGCACAGCTCTCAGCATGTATCCCAAGGTTTAGACTACCATGATTCATTGAGCCACCTTGTACTCACTCTCACGGGATTGGTCTGTTTGTCTGCCCGGGAGAAGAGGCAGTTGATAACAGAAACAACCACTCTCCAGCATTAACTAAAACCTTTATTTGTCCTGGCCTATGTTTATTTCCCATAGACAGGACAGATGTGATAGCAATTAGCATCTTAAAATGGTTAGTCTATCAAGCAGTTCCTCATTGCCTATATTTAGAATAGTCTAATGGAGACAGCAGCATCCACTATTTTCCATTTGGTCACTCCCACCAGCACTCACTCTCCTCTTGGGTACTTGTGCAGCAAGGGTTCCACATTCACTTCTCTGATCACAAGACAATGTAATTCATTTTAATTCATCATTCCTATATACAGGTAACCAGAAATACCAACAGTGCCTCATTTAGCTGCATTACAAAAGCACTGCCATGATTTTGGGCACCAGTTCTATATAATATAATCATAATAAAATGCATTTAGCATAGTAAGAAATTCTGCTTATTTCAAAGGTGAAGAACAGTGACATGAAATTGGAGGCAAGTGGGTCCTGATGCAAGTTTTGTGATGATATGGGGATCTGGTCTGCATTAGATAGGGAAAAAATTACAAGATGGAAAGAGAAGGGCCATAGATGAAAGGGTGCAAATGTGATGAGGAAGGTCTCCTGCAAGCAGTGGATGTGGTTAAGTCAAAAATTCTTTTGAGAAGCACGAAGAAAGGTAAGATTTATTAGCTGGAGAAGGAAGTTGAATAATCTTTGGGAAACAGAGAAAATCTTCTACAGGGAAGGAAGCCCAAGAAAACTCTTTAAAAAACTTAAAAAAAAAGTTTACAACACCTCTTTGTCTTCTGAAAAAACTCCTCTTCTTGTGCCTCCCCTTCCATGGAAGATTTTGTCCTATTTGATATGAGGAGGTAGTGAAAAGCAAGCTTGATGGAGCTAGCTGGAAGGCACTTCTTACTAAACATACGAGGTGTATGAGGTAGTGGTGAGACACAGGAGATACAAGAATGTGTGGATATCTCATGACTGAAAGATTGGGTATCAGGAAAGGGGTGACTTAAGCCAAAATGTTTTTTCATTATTCATAATGGGCTAGAAGCGAGAATGAAATAACTAGCGTATAACTTTTTGAGCTGTTGTCACTCAATCACCATTGTCACTTGTTTTCACCTCCAATTGCATAGCTCAGTTCAATAATACATTATTTTATTCTCGAATAATTCACTCATTCAAGAGATAGACATGAGAATATGTGCCAGAAGAAGAAAATATGGAGACAGCATATATTCAAAAATCTCAGTCTCAAAACTGTTCAAATTGGCTTGTACCACTAGAAAAGTTGGGATTTGTTGCTGCAGCTCAGCATGAGGAAGAAAAAAGAATAGCACCTGTATTATACAGGTGCTTTCTGCATCATTATGACTGAAATTGGATTTTTTTCAGCTAAGATGCAAAGGCCTAGAAAAAGTGCAGTGCTAACGGTAACAACTAATGTAAAAGCAACATCTCTTTTGTGAGTGCATTAGCAGCAGGATTAACAGTGGAACTTTATCAGGTTACAGAGCAGTAATAAGGGCTGCTTTGGTACTCTATCAAAGAAAAATGATCCTGTTACTGACTTACAGGCAATTTCTTTGCTATATCATAGCATGTAAAGTGCAAAGTGAACATTAAGACTCGTGACGATATTTCATGGGGCCAGACATTGTTAGTTCTTGTCCAGGTGTTTTTAATTCTGTCTAAAATATACAATTTACAAACCTATTTATAATCAAATGTGCTGGCTAAATTATTTACCTGCTAATTGCTGAATACCACATTGTGTTTTAGTGATCTTTCTATACAGAGTGCTAGAAAACAGGCGTGCATATCATATTTAACAGGAACGTAGGGTGAAGTTTGCCAAGCAAGTAACCACCCAAGTTGCCCTTTAGTAGTTTTTAAGTTAATTTACCATCACCTTTAGCAACGCAAGTCAGAAGAAATCACCGTCTGCTTATGAACCTTGGAATCCATGTTGTTCTTACTATCATTTTTCCTGCTACAGTAATATGAGTAACACTAAAATGGCTGTTTCAGCCTTTGTCTTATTCTAGAAGCACTCAGTGATGCAGGCTTCTGAGTCTCCAAAAGAGCTGCCACATGCATGTGAGTTCTAACAGTGTTGGAGAAGACTGAGCAAGAGGTATTTGCAAATCCCTTAGGCATTAGCTGAATTGTTTGGTCTTCATCTGAAAGGAGTTTCTTTAAGACCAAGGTTTGAACTGGTTTCTGCCTAAAGGGCAATGAGATCTTGAAGGCCTCACCTTAAGAGCTTATTCCACCTAAGCACCCTAAGAAACAGAGGTGCTGCTCTTTCCTACTTAAGCTCTTTATCTGTTGGTGAGTTTCAGCAAGTGAAAAGAAAAGGGAATGTGTATGTACTTTTCTGTCTTCCTAGGCGTAAGTAGCTTTAGACAGGCAGTGGAGTCTAACTGTTTAATGTCTTAAATATAAAATAATTTGGCTCTTTCAGAATAGCAAAGAATTTGGGAATAAGCAAACAAGTCCAAATGGATAAGGGAAACACTGAACATTAAATACTCAAACAAGTGTTTAGAATAATTGCATTTATTTTGATACTAGGACACACTGAATTTTAATTAATCTTCAGGTATCTTTTCCTACTTACGAAATTTAAAGAGAACTAATTTGGAGATCATCTCTGTTTTCTTTTATGCTGGAAAATTGAACACAGGTACTCTAGATCATATCCAGCAAGATCTGTAAGAAGAATGTCTGAATGTTTCAGATCTGTCTGAAAACTATCATGCAAAAAGATTTTTATTTATCTTATACATATACCTTACTGAATTGTTAATACACTAGAAATTAACGAAATAAGCAGAATTAGATAGTTGTAAGGATCTTAAAAAATCATTATTTTCTCTCAAGAGTGTTTTCTATGTTCTATAAGAACTTTGTGTTCAGGTAGCATAAAAAAGTTCAGGAGATAATTATCCTTTTGCAGCAGTAGTTAGGGCTGATAGCACAATCATTTTGTACATCGAGAGGACAGTTTCCACCCACAAAGTAAGTAATGATTAAAAACCAATTTTTTATATTTGAAAAATAAATGTGTACGATATACCAGTCACACCGGTTTCTAAAGGACAGGCTGTGACAGGCAGCATCACATATTAGGAGTCTTAAATGAAATTCCTTTGAACCTTGAAGTAATAGACTATATTCTGCATAAACCTGCAATTAAATATAAAAAGTGGTCAAGATAGGTAACTCAGTTTTAAAGTTTGCAGTCAACTAATGAAGTTTCTAAGTATTTTAATTTTGTAGGGTGATACTCCTAATGGGTTCTATATCTTCCTCAATGAAAACAGTTTCAAAAGAAGTAGAATTCCTTAAGCCTTCTTCATCAGCAGCTCAGAGCTTTGATGACTTCAAATCTTCTCCTGACCCATGGAGGTTCATTAAGGGAAGGCTTTGAATCAGTAGTGCAGTCAAGATTCAAAAAATGACCTCATGGAGATGAAGCTTGGTCACTTCATGGAGCGAATAATATGACTTGGCTCTCTGCAACTACAGGAAGTGAACATTTTCAGTCCTCTCTTCCTATTTATCCAATTTAGGAAAGAGAACAGAGCATTAGCATTTGATTGCTGAAGAAAATTAATATGTAAAATTCAAAATAAAATAGTCATAAAAGGATTGTCACTGGTACAAATCATAACAAAACAGTTTCAGGTAATGACTAAGTTCAAATAAACAGCAGGCCTGCTTCATGCTCAGAAACAGTAACTGAACTTATAAGCTTAGTTAGAAAATCTACTGAGTGCCCCTTAACATTTGCAGAAACTTGAACTTCATGAATATGTGTAATTTGAAAGGAGTGTTATTGTCAGTGATCTTCAAATTTATTAAATATTCTTGTATTTTATACAAGGACTTTGTATAATTATTGTCTCCATATCAAAATCTGTGGTTTATACTTATAAAACTCTAGACCATAATCTTGTTTGTATTCTGATCTTTTAGTCCTGATAATACTACTGAGTTTAAGTGTAGTATGATTACAGGTTATGGCATACAGATGGAATTGTGTTGGCATCTACTGATAATTATTCTTATAAATCATTAGCAGAAAACAGTGTCTGAAAAACAGTCTCACTAAAACACAGAGCTGTAAAATTACTATTTATTGCTCATATCAAAGCTTTTTAAATCTAAACATGGAGTTCAGAATCTCTTTATGAGGATAAACTTGACAGAGTGAAATATTCAGCATTTGACAAACACAAACTCACAATTCAACTTCATCAGTAGCACTGTCTATACACCTTATGCACATTCCTATTTTCATAGCAAAAAGTCTAGTACAGTACTGTCTTTTTATTAAGTTTTGGGTGTTGGGGTTTTTTTTTTCCATTTTCAATAATAACGTAGGCTTGTTTGATATGACAATAACATGAATATTCATGTTCTGCAGTACGTTCTGTTGACCTAATTAAGGTCACCTTTGGTCAGACGTAGTAATGAATCTTTGGTTGGATTATTATTTCTATATTCAGTAATGACTTTCCATTCCTATTAATGAATTTTTATTTATAGGTTCTTCTTTTATCTGATGACCTTGATCTTGTCAAGGGATCCACCAGGGTGGATCCTTTCAAAGGGATGAATACCATGTTGTTTATTTGGACGAAAGGACTTACATAGTGTATTCTAAGATGGAATACTGAGTTTGTCTCTTCTTACATTCTTTCTGTTTCGTGGAAGACAGGGAATGTACCATAACATTGCACAATTCTATGATTGACCAATCCATAAATTTGATAGTAATGCATTGTTTTCATTTCTAGAAAATGATAGAAAATTATAAAGGACTTTCTGCCATTGGCCTCTCAGAGTCTTGTTCTGGTGTTGGTTTGCCATCATTCCAAAAAACATTAGATTAGACAGTATTGCTTTAAATCCACTCTGTAGTAATGTGTCATCCGCCAGCCATCACTAACCTTGAACTTCCATGTGTAGGTTGATAGCTTTTTTAGCATTCCATTATTTTTCAGTTTCTCCATACCAACTGCATCATATCCACCAAGTATCAGTATAGTTTATTCCACTTAAAAATCTGTCAGTTAAAAATATTAAATCTTCAGTCACACTTTTCTTTTAAGCATTCTGTGCTGTGTTCTGTTCAGTGTCAGTGTCTTTAGTTCTGATTTTTCAATTTTGTCCCTCTCCTTTTCCTTGACTCGTTAGTCTGATCCAACCTCTTCTACCTCATCTGGTGATTATCAATATGTTATGGAAGCTAAACTACAAGAAATGATCTCCATACGTAGGAAGGTAGTCCTACTGGACTTTACTTTCTATTGCTAAATAGAATCCATCTGATTTGTTTTGATTTTCTTTAACTTTTTTTTTTTTTTTAATTGATAATCAACCATCGTGCAGTTCAGTGCTTCAGGAGCTTACAATTTTACGATGGCAGGTTTGTGTTCAAACCATGCACAGTCTGCATGTTACATTTGGCTGATTTCATTGCTCATAAATAACTCCAATGTTTTGCTGATGCTTGGATGTAACAGGCCTTTGTAGCTGACACATTTCAAGCAATGCTGTTCAGCTGCCTGTTTAAATAAAGTTTCTTTTCTGAAAACTAAGTTTGCAGTTAGTAGTAGCTTGCTTTATGTTTTGTTTAAACTTTACTGAGATAAAGACACACAAAATTGATTGAATTATAGAAAGAGTCTTTTTATTTTTTACAGGCAGAAGAAAGACATGGAAACATTGAAGAACGTATGAGACACTTAGAAGCTCAACTTGAAGAGAAGAATCAGGAACTTCAAAGAGTATGTGTATTGCAGGCAACTTCTCTGTAATTTTCCTCTTTTAATTTGTCAATATAGTGCAACTTACACACTCCAGCACACAATTCTATCCACTGGTATATGTTTTATTTATAGAAGTGATGGCAGCATCATCACATTTTACTCAAACATCTTAATAAACTAGTTTACATCTACTTGCAGCTTTCAAAGTAGTTTGCTTTTATGAAAATGAATGTGCTTTAGTCAGTAACTGTAGCTGTATTACCTGTGGAATTTATTTAAGTGTATTCAGCTGCCATAAAATCTTTATTTTTTGGAGCTACAAGTCTGCACTGGTTAATTTTGGACCTTGCAAATCTGTCTCTTCTATTCTACACAAAAGGCAAGGCAAAGAGAAAAAATGAATGAGGAGCATAACAAAAGATTATCAGATACTGTAGACAGACTTCTGACAGAATCCAATGAACGCCTTCAGCTGCACCTAAAAGAGAGAATGGCAGCACTTGAAGAAAAGGTACAGTACAAAGAATAAAGTTTCACTCAATAAAGATTCTCTTGTATGAAACATGTTCTACATTTATCAAGACGGAAATATCATGCAGTTTTGTATGCAACAATTATGACCACAAATATAATCTAACTCTTTCATTCTGTACATTCAACACATCATGCATGTATGAGCACAAGAATCTTTCCATGATACTCTGAACTGGAAATTCTGTGTGTTATGAATCCCCGCTTTATCGATAGGGAGCCTGATTAATTGGCTCATGAAGAACCAGGGCACAGTGTGTTACGAGGGAGTGAGATAAAGGGCATTAGAACTGAGAAATGACCATGTTTCAGATATGCCATCAATCCTGAATTTCAACTTGCTGATTTTACCTCACTTCCTCTGGAAGAATAACATACTTCCACCACAGGAGGAGAAGAAATGTTATTTACAGGTTTTCTGTGAGGAGCTAACTCTGAGAACTTTTTATTTATCCTTCTTTAATCCCTCTCTCTTTAGTCTGATCTAAGGGGAATCTTTCAGCATATTTATTCTGAAATCTTTTGCAGGATATAATTCAGGTTTACATCATTGAAACAAAATGTTGTAACAAAGCAAGAGATAGGCCTGCCAAAAGAGGGCCTGGACAAAATAATTGTGTAAGAGCATGATGGTTGCTCAGTTCAAGGAAAATGAAAAGCTTTTGCTCTTTTTGAAAAAACAGGCTAATACATTTTTGAGTAATTTACGTATTCAAACTGAAGCTTTAAAGGATTTTAGTTTTACAATCGAGTGAATGTGCAGGCTCATTTCTTAAATTTGCTAACCTCTACATGGAGACTACCTGCATTTGGTGATCTCTGTTATATAATATTTCTCTGATTTCTTTCTGCTTATCTTTATTTCACTTTTTCATTTTATTTGTAGAACGTGTTGATTCAAGAGTCTGAAAGTTTCCGGAAAAATCTGGAAGAATCTTTACATGACAAGGTACTACTAAAACTTATTTTATTTGTTCCCATAAAAAGTTAAATACTTATTATTTGGACATAAAATACACTCAGTCATCCATATATCATGTGAAGTCTTCCTGGTACTTAGGATAATTCTTTTAATCACAAAGATGTTTTCAAAAGCCAATGAGGGTCTCTAACAAGTCTTCTGAGATAAGTTCATGGTTGAAATCCTAGCCTCAGGAACCCAATACTAAAATTAGTATTAATTTCACTGGCTCTGTAATTTTTGTTCTATTAGATTTAATTCTGAAAAAAAGTCTTCTTTAAGAGAAATGTGCATGTAACTGGTTACACTTTCATAGTTACAAATGTAATTTCTTGTTATGATGCAATTCTTAACAGATGCTGTGGCATTATGCTAAGTCTAACTGAAAATGTCCTTTCTTAGTTCATTGCAAATTAACCCCTAATACTGCTTAGTGAATCAGTCACATTAATAATAAATATTATTCCAATCCCAAATATTAAAATTTTCCTTTGTAGTTATAGTTGCCTTGAGGGCAGCAGCATTATTCACAAATCTGATGTCTGCATTCAGATTCACAGAAGTGTTTTTTTAATGTATCAAATCTACTAAAAGAATTTACAAAACAGAGCTCAGTTCAATACAAAAATAAATGTGAAATTCAGTATCCAAAATCAACAACTTTCAAAAAAAAAGCAAAGAAGGATCTGTTCAAATCAATTGCCATTTTTAATCTATATTCAGACAATCTTCTAGAAAAGCAGAAAGTCTGAGAAGGGAGCTCATGAAATTGTCTGTGCTCTTGGCAGCTGCCAATATTTTTCTGAAGTGAGAGAAGCAGTTTAGAACTTACTTAAAGGGAATTTATACTGCAGTAACTCCTCTAGAACAACTTATTGAATATCTACTGATCTATAATACTAGTATCTTTACATGATGTAGTTTATTGACTGATTTATTGGATGAGTATACCCTAGTAAGTGTTATACTCACCTGCATAGATGTATTCTTTCCACTACTATTTGTTTTATCTTTTCAAAGTGTATGAATGATTTTGTTGAGGAACGTTCTGCAGGCTTTCTTTTCAAAGCAAAGGATAGGAGACAATTGTTACAAACAGCACTTCTTTTCCCTAGTCATTGATGTAGAGCTTTTTTCGTATTTTGTTCCCAAATCCAATTTTTTGGCGCACTTTAATATTTCACAAGCAGCACCGTGTGCTGGAGTTTTAGAAGCTCTCAAGAGTGCACTGTGAAGCTGCAGGTGAACAGAAGACCTAAAATCTAGTTGTCTCTAAGTCTGTGTTTCTGTTTGTAAATAAAAAGGCGAGTAGCCAATCTCTACCTCTAAGGGGCAAATGGTGCGTCACAAGCTGATCTATGCTTGGTGTCCAGTTAGTGCACAAATCAGTGTTGTTTTTTCTTTTCCATGCCATAGTGTCACAGAAAGAAAAAAAATCAGGTTTCAACTATAAACTTGTCCTGTCATCATCTGCAGATAGTGGTAAAATGATAGGGAGACTGATGCAATCTCCTTTTGATGTGTAGGTCCTTTAGCGATAAAGAGGCTTGAATGAGTTTCCTGCTTTTCCTTATTGTAGGCATATCTACATTCAGTGTATTTTGTCCTAGTTATTTAGTCTTACAAGGTTAGTATCTCAGAAACTTGAAGGTATTTTGGATCACAATTAAGTGTGTCTTCTTATTCTGATTTCCAGGAAAGACTTGCAGAAGAAATTGAGAAACTGAGATCTGAACTGGATCAAATGAAATTGAGAGCTGGTTCTTTAATTGAACCCACATTGTCAAGGTAATATTTAATGCCAAATGTTTCCTCATTTTGAATTGAAAGAGAAGGTAAGCATAAGTGACAAGACTTTAAAATAATGCATTCAGACCACATATAATCATGTATTTCTTTTAAACTACGGGATCTGTGGAATTATTATTACTGTTGTTTTTCACTTTTTTTTCTATAGGTAAATGGGGCCTTGTAGTAGTGAGTATACACTGAAGTATTACTGTGATTAAGGGAAGTCTTTGAAATTACAGTGATTTTAAAAGTGTAGCCAAATACCCTTCCCCCCCCTTCCCCCCCCCAAGATTTTTTGATCATAGAATCATAGAATCACCAAGGTTGGAAAAGACCTAAAAGATCATCCAGTCCAACCGTTCACCTATTCCCAATAGCTCCCACTAGACCATGTCCCTCAACACAACATCCAGCCTTTGATAATGAAGTTATAACCATCACTGCATCTAAGATTTATTATTATTATTATTATTATTATTATTATTATTAAGAAATAACATAGCTTTGCCTAGTGTGTAGGACAAGACCACATAATGTCATCTGAAGGCAGTACTCAGAGAGATTTGAGAACATCTTAACAGGGCACTGAACAGTGAGACAGGTACTGTAGGTACTGCTCTACTAACAGCTTAAATCAATTTATTATTCTAGAAAGGCAATTATTCTTTCCTAAATTTCTTCTTGCCCTAAAACTCAACCTTGAATTTCTTTTGAAATAATGCTTTTCATAGAATCACAAAATATCCTGAGTTGAAAGGGACCCACAAAGATCACAATGTCCAAATCCTGGCACCACAAAGAACTACCCAAAATCAAACCCTATGTCTGAGAGCACTGCCTAAACACACTCTGAACTCTGGTGGGTCGGTGTTATGTCCACAGCCCTGGGCAGCCTGTTCCATGCCCACCTCCCCGGTGCAAACCCTTTCCCTAACACCCAGCTGCCCTCCCCTGACGCAGCTCCATGCCGTTCCCTCGGGCCCTGCTGCTGTCACACAGAGCAGAGCTCAGCGCTGCCCCTCTGCTCCCTGTGAGTGAAGGAGGCTTCAGTCAATATCTGTAGCTGTATTACCTGTGGAATTTATTTGTGTTCAGCTGCCATAATATCTTAACTTTTTGGAGCTACATGTTTGCAATGGTTAATTTTGAATCTTACAAATCTGTCTCTTCTTGCTCTATTCAAAGCCATAGTCTATAAATGTCCTAAATGCATTTTTATGGAAAACTTGTAGGTACTTGTTCTTAGATTTCATATTTCTCTCTAGTTAAATCTCTCAAAATAAATAATTATAAACTATGCTATTTTTCAAAGGGCAGTTCTCCAATATTTTCATAATGAAGGACTGTAAAAACGTGTTACAGATATCCTCACTCTTGAACAATTTATTCAGCAGCCAGTTGTGCTAATTATCTTCATGTTGAATTCTGTTTCTTCGATTCTTTTCTCAGGCCTCATCTGGACTCATCAGCAGAGTTGAGGTATTCTGTGGGCTCACTGGTGGAGAGCCAGTCTGACTATCGGTCAACTAAGGTGATAAGGCGACCTAGAAGAGGACGCATGGGAGTACGCAGAGATGAACCAAAGGTTAATATCCGATTTATTTTCCTATATTCTTTAAAATGAAAATGTTTTTCAGGCTGTTAAATTTAAGGCTTGCGTATTTCTGGAAAACCAAATAAATGAATAAGCACAAACACCAAGAGTAGTTTTTTTTTCTATTTATACATAGATCACTGTTGTACTAAAATGGAGGCAGAAAACGTTGAAGTTCAGACTCCAAAGTTTGAGTGTATTTGACTATTTGTCTTTTTTCATTATCTTCACAAATTTTCCTAGCAGTTAACTTTACACAGCAGTAGAAATTATGTGAAAATAGTTTACATCCTCCACAATGCCAATCAAATGCCTTCTTGCCATAACGTTGCACGTATCGATGGAGAATAATTATTGAATAAGTATTCTTGAATGTGAGTTACTTTCCTTCTCCATTTTATAGTTCAACTCTGCAACTGTTTTCTGTGGAATAAGACCTATATATCCTAATTCCTGCTTAGGTAAAATCACTTGGAGATCATGAGTGGAATAGGACTCAGCAGATTGGTGTTTTGAGCAGTCATCCGTTTGAAAGTGATACTGAAATGTCTGACATTGATGATGATGATAGAGAAACGCTTTTCAGCTCCATGGACCTCTTGTCACCAAGTGGCCATTCTGATGCCCAGACGCTGGCCATGATGCTTCAGGAGCAGCTAGATGCAATCAATAAAGAAATCAGGTACATAGCCTTGAACCAGCTGTGGTGCATTTCTTGATTACAGCTTTAGGGTCCTTTCAGTGCATGAGCTTAGATACCATTCATAACAATTTGGAAACCACTTGTACATTTAAAGGATTGATAATCTATTTATCTATAGATAATTTATAGATTTATTCTGTATTTATTGCGTGAATAGAACATTGATTTCTGTATTTTCTGACAGTAGGGAAAAAATATTTTACTGTCAAATAAAAGTTTCTTGCAAAGGATCACTGAGCAACTAAAAAGAAATGCCTAAGACAATGTGACACATGGCAACTTTTACCAAATTCTATTCATAATCTTTTCAAGATCTTTCTCCCTGTTCTGTATAAATAACTACTCACAAATTACTTCCTATGTGAAATGCTTTATTTCATTTCCTGTTCATGTTTTCCTCTGGTAACTTTTCCAATGTTACATTTCATATAAGCCATGCTTTCCAAGAAATTGTTTTGATTTTCTATGGAACACAGTTTTTGTTGTTGTTGTTGTTTTCATGCACCTGATAGGTTATAGTACTGGGAAATAGGTAGTGAAATAATTGTGGCTTGCTAGTTTTTATGCAAATTTAATGGAATGAAGGAGAATTGAGTAACATAATTTATTTAAGGTATTTTTGTAAATGAAATCATGTTTTAGGCTGAAAACTTTCTTACAGTTTTTCAGGAAGAGTAACTTTTTAATAAGTTGATGCATCAAAAAAACATCATTTCTCTGGAAGAGGTTATCAGTCACTTCTGGTAATTCTATGGACAGAAAGTGTATGTTTAGAAATACAATCAAAACCAGATTACCTTTTCAAGATCTCAATCTTTCTTTGCAAGGTAGTTTTGGAAAAAATTGAAATATATTGACTGGATAACATTTCTAGTCCCCACAAGATCTTTTATTAGAGATCTGTAGCTTTTGGTTTTTGCTACTTCCAGAATTGAATGAAGATTCATGTGGGATTTAACCCCCGTGTAAACCAAGACAAAAAAGGCAAAGTGAAATTTTGTTGCTGGGAGGACAGAGCTCCCTAAAACAATGCATTTTGAGTATGTAAAAGAGAAATCCATCAATATTTTCCATTACTGCAAAGAAGTCAGCAATTCAGGTTGCTGTAGATTCAACAAATGTATTTTATATACATATATATATATTAGCATTTTAACAATTTAACAAGTAATTTATAATACAGTAAAGAGTTTTTAAAAGAAGTTGTACTTGAAGGTGACATAATGAGATATTACTTGTGCCATCTTGAATCAAAACATTCTTCTACTAAACAGAGGATCTTGAATTAGGTAGTAGGTATTGTTTTATGTCATGAAAGGAAATAAAAAGGGGACACATTGTATATAGTCATTTTTGCTGGGGGTCATTTATTTCCCCTGCTAATACTTGTATACTGGGATAGAGGCTTTTATTTACCACCACCATTATTATGAAAATTATGTTTTGATTTTAATGTTTCAGGAAAAAAAAACAAAGATTCTATAATAATATATATATAATATATAAGTCATTATAAACTGTATTACATTCCACGTTTTTTTAGTCTTTTTTGTTGGCAAAAGGAGGTTTATCAAATGAGTGGGAGATATCAGGAGATTAAAAACTAGTTTTGAGTTGGTTGTATTATACAAGGCTATTCAGAATTTAGATATTTTGCAAAATATCTAAATATATACAAATATATATATGTGTATTTACAAAACAAAGAAGATTTGTTCTGAATCTCTCTCAAAATGTTATTTGCCTTTGAATTTCTTAGACTTCTCATTATAGAAAGAACAGTAGGTATTTTGTAGACACTTTGAAATAGATTTTAGGGCAGAAAATCTATCACAGCACAGGGATTTTTAGGTTTCCATTTTCAAAGTATTATGTTTTAATTTATTGTACTTCCTCCATTTCACGTTAACAAAAATAACAAAACCAAAAAACCTCAAGCCTGGTTCACAGAATCAGACTTTCCATGTTTCAAATTCTGTCATATTTTACTATGACCCCTCATCCATTTTCCTCCTCTTTGCAAACAAAAAGATTCCTTCTGACTTTGTTTGTGGTCAAAACATATACAACAAGTCTTTTATTCTTAATATATTTATCAGAAGCAAAATAACCCAGTTGAAACGTTCTATTGAAGCTATGTATGTTCAAGAAACTAATATTCATTTCCAGTGAGAGCTCTTCCAATGAAACTCACTTAAAAACATAATGCTTTAGAAACAGCTGTTATCTTTTCATCAATTTGTAGGGATGAAACAGGCAAATTGTCCTGCATGTTCCCTTGCTTTACTAATATAGATTATCTTAGCAATACCCTTCTCAAAGGCACCGTTTGACCTTAAATTTTTCTTTATGGTTTAGCAAAATAAAGTCAGCTGAATTCAACTTAAGATTGGAATTATTTTCCTATGGTAAATAGGATCGTTCACTCTCCCTCTCTTTCTCCCATACAAAGAAACCAATCTTCCTGAAATATCGTACATAAATTCTTGTTGTTGGGCAGATTCTTCAAACAGGTTTTGAGGTTGGAGGAATAGGAGAAAGGATTTTATAATTCTGGTGATTAAAAATACCTAAAACATTATTATTTTGGAGTTGATCTGTGAAACTCATATTTGCTTTCTTTTTGTTTTGAAAAGAAATATTTTTTTACATTCAGTTTTGGTGCATGCAGAGACAAAGGTGGAAATTGCAATGAGAAATTAAAAATACAGTTACCAATGGGCATAAGTAACCTCCGCATAAGTATTTATTTTGTGCCAGTGTGTGTCTGTGTGCAAAATGATAAGTACCAAGGAAAAAAATTTTGCTTTCAAAATCTACAAATACTTTCAGAGTATTAATGTTGTCCTAAATCCAGCCATGTCCTTCAATTTTATAAGGTTAATCCAAGAAGAAAAAGAGTCAACAGAACTGCGTGCTGAAGAGATAGAGAACAGAGTGGCTAGCGTGAGTCTGGAAGGCTTAAATCTAGCCAGAGTCCATCAAGGTACATCCATTACTGGCTCAGTGACAGCATCATCACTTGCAAGCTCTTCCCCTCCCAGTGGACACTCAACTCCTAAACTCACCCCTCGCAGTCCTGCCAGGGAGATGGATAGAATGGGGGTTATGACGCTGGTAAGAGACTCTGTGATGCTAATTTGGGGTGTGATATTTCTAGCATCATCTTTTACTGTATGCATGGCTCATCTCTGGTATCCAGATGTAGCTGTGCTAAAGCTCAGATGGATATGTCTGTGAGTTTCAGCCAAATTCTTAATGTATCAGGAGCCACAGAAGTAGTGCCCCACAGCCTCACTTCACTCACCCTCTCTAGCACATACTTTGATCTTTTCAAGATACTCCCCCTGAGTTGCTTTAGCAGAAGTTGAATGTGAAATATCTCCTTATCCTTCCTGGCTGGGGACAGACACGATATACTATCAGACATCCTCTGAGAACACTGAGTTGGAAAGAGTTATGTAGAAGTCTCATCTCTAGAGCCCAAGTTACCAAATGGTACTGTAGGGGTTAGCTGGAGGAGCAGTATCCCTGGAGTTTCTGCAGGCCAGGTTGACACAGTGAATACATTCTGCAATATCTTCAGCTCTGAATGAGTGGAGAAAAAAAAAAAAAAAAAAAAAAGGAAAAAAAGAGTTAAACATGGCACATTCTAGCAACTGCCTACTGCCAAATAATATTGAAGTACAAGAGATGGATGAATTTGTATTCACTGACTCAGTAAGACACGGTAAGAGGAGAGAAATGACCCTTTTTCAGATGTGCTATTTCCTGATGATATTTTATGTTTATACTTGGTGAAACACTGATTTGTTTGCAATATTTCATAGAACTACAAATATATCTGTCTTAGGGGACATGCTTACTGAAAGATTTTATATGAAAAAAATTTTATAAAGTGCTGTCATAAATTTGGAATGTCCTATTCTATTCTAAGTTTATAAAAATGAAGGGAATTGTACCATTAGAAAAAGTAACTGCTTTCAGAAACAGCATATTTGTGAAGCATTGTACCACCATGTTTACTTTTATGTTCAATATATGGGTAGTATTAAATTTTGGATGTCAGAAGAAAGAGTGCGTGGCATTGTTATGCTCAGATAAGATATATTAATCATTCTTTTTTGTTGTTGTTGCTTCTTTTGTTACCGATTTAAGCCAAGCGATCTAAGGAAACATCGGAGAAAGGTAAGACTCTAGCTTTTTTTTAAGTCAGGAAAGTGCATTCAGCATATTCCTCTGCTGTTTAAATCACTAGGTTCCTTCCCACCCATTTCACCCCCTTCACTCCTTGTTTCCCAGTCCCCAAACATAATAATTCTAAATTTACCTAAAGAGGCTTGCAGTAGTCCCTACTATTCCAAGAATCAAGGCTCACAAGTGATACTTTGGAGTAGCCTCCCCAGCACACACTTAAAAGAAACACAGTGAAAAACAAGAAAACAAGAAAAACAAGTGGGCATGAGAATTACCTTCAGATGTATTTTGGCCATTTTTAGGAGAAATCAGTCAGACTGCTTGAAATCTTTGGAGCGGTATGAAGTTATTTGCAGAATTGTCACTGAATGTGGGCTTTATCTTTACAAGAGTAGAGACAATCTTCAATTTAAATTATTATACGTTGTGACAAAACCTTTTCTTCCATGCTTGTTTTCAAGTACTCTGACCAATCTGTTATCATGCTCCAGAGGGATTGATCTTGTTTATGTCTGTATTTACCTTCCACCTTACCTGAGAATTTTGTTTCATGAATAATCCTGTTTAATGCAAAAAAAATTGCTCATGAATAAAGTTATTTTCATGCTTAGACCTTTACTGGATCAACCTGTTTGTCATAAAAGAAATGAATTTCTTCTGCAAATATAGTCTTTGTTCTTTCATATATATATACTGTAAGCTACCATGTTTAGTCAATCTTGGTTTTTTTTCCCAATAGTCTTTTTAAGAAATAAGAAGCCTTCTTATTATTTTTTTAAACCTCCTTTAAATCCATAAATGCTTCAGTTCAACTGGCAAATTTCTGAAGCATATGCTGAAAAGCTGATGAAAAGCTGTTCAGGTCTAAATGGTGTATCTCCCCCAGATTGCAGTAGTCGAAGAAGATGGACGTGAAGATAAAGCCACGATCAAATGTGAAACTTCTCCCCCTCCAACACCCAGAGCTATCAGAATGACTCATACCCTTCCTTCTTCATACCACAATGATGCCAGAAGGTAAGATTTCCATAACGTGAGTCAGAACTGAACTTTTGTGTGCTATAAAATGGCCTGATTTCCTCATATTTCTTGTTGGCAATTGTTTCCCCTGCCATAAAGAATAAACTTTTACCTTGGTCTCCTTTGTGAAGATGAAAGTATTTGTCAGTACTAAAATTGACAAATTCTGTTTTAAGATATAGTTTTGATCCCTACCAGAAGTACTAGAAGTAGGGATCCTGCATTTCCTAGAAAGACAAATATCAGGCTGATTCCTGTATTTATATCAATTGTTCTTAGCAAACAAACATTATTATTTATTTCTGGCCCTGTATTGCTTTACATAATGCTAAATCAATTAAGGAGCAAGATGGGATTAATTGTTTCAGTTGTGGGAAGTTTATTACTAACTTATAACAAATTCATTTATTTGCACAGCTGCAAGAAGAAAGTGAAAAATGTTAATATGTTATCTGTTCTATGTCTTTATTGTCATTTATAGTAGTTTACCTGCTTCATTGGAGCCAGAAAGTATTGGTCTTGGCAGTGTCAGTAGCAGTCAGGACTCCCTGCACAAAGCTCCAAAGAAGAAAGGAATCAAGTCCTCGATAGGACGCTTGTTTGGTAAAAAAGAGAAGGCTCGACTTGGACAGCTCAGTAAGGAATTAGTGGTACCAAGCCGTGGTCACCACTTCGCAATCATTTTTCCTTTTTTAATACGTTCTTCTCCGCTTTCCAGTTTGCTTATTTTTTTTCCATTTACTCAGATGGAACCTTGTCATTAGAGACTCCGTTGCTATCAGAAATTATATGTCAGGAGTTTGCTGTGACTTTAACACATAAATGAAAGAAGACTTCTAACACAAATTACAAGTCATTCTCTTCACTGAACCTAGTGCTTCAATACTCTATTAAATTACAGTAAAAATGCTAACAGTGTGTTCTCAAATAATCAAAATAAAAAAGAGGTAAGAGAGTACTAAGTATAATCCCACTCTAAGGGGTATATCGACTATAAAAGGTCCTTGCAAGAAAGTGCATTTGCCTTTCTTGTTGCAGCACACCAGTAGATGTCTACTAGTACCTGTCACTGATGTCCTCACCATACTCTTGCAGTTAGCTATGCTGCCTATGGCAGTGCTTTCCTTGTATTTCTTTTCACCTTCTCCAAGATCTTTGTCTAATTCATGCCTGGGAACACTTTTCTTCTGAAATGTTCCACAGGACGTGTCCATACCATATGCAAAAAAAAAAAAAAAGAAACATCAAAACAGTCATGGCATAATTTTATTTAACTAGCTACAGGGAGCAAAAGCAATGGAAAGTGAAGCCTTTAGCACAGTCTCATAGTCTGCATACCCAAACAGGTAATTACATACCCATGTCAACACAAACATAAATTTGGTATAGATGTGTCCATAAAATTTCCTAGACATGAAGATGTCTGAGCACGGTTTTGTGAAACAGTGATTTTTTACTGCCGTGGTGTCCACGTAACACCTGTAAAAAAAATTTAAAGGTCTGCAGTGGTTGTAAATGGTGGAGTAATACATAGGCCCAAATTAAAAACAAAAACAAAAAACACCCACAAAACCCACCACCACCAATAACAAAACATCTTCATTCTTATTAATATATATTATCATCACCACTAACGAAACCGTCACTGAAATACTACAGCATAAAGTTAGGTAATATTGGGATCAAAGTATCAGAGTAAAATCAAAGGATTAATTGTTCTCTATTTACAACCCAACTTTTCTCCTCTTTCTCTTGTGTTCTTGTAAAGAAAACCAGCTAATTTCTAATCTTAATTTAAATTCCTTTCTTTTTTCCTTAGTGTGGGAAGAATAAAATTAATTTATTCAATCATCTTCACAGCTTATTTCAGAATCCCATTAATTAGATCTCCCAAATACTCCTGCATGTCACCATCTGCCTGATTTTGTAACTTTAGACTGTGGCTAAATTAATTCTTAATTCACATTTACATGCCATAAAAACAATTGTATTGATACTGATGGATTAGGTATAATAATCTATGATTTCACAGTAATTTGGGAATACAGAGGACAAAGATGTAATAAATTCGTTGGTCTTCCCTCCAATTATTTTCAGTATGAACAGAAACAAAATAACACCTTGAAAGATTGTCTAAGGAGCAATGTAATCTGGCAATAGATTAATTTCATAATAATAAACAAAATGATTAATAAGACATATGTATAATTGGCCAAGCCTATTTATAATTCCCAACACTAGCTCATGAAATTATATTAGCTATTAATGAAGATTTGCAATTATATGAAATTTTTGTGTCATCTATTCTTTAGCTTAAAAGCAAAGTTATTCACATTAAAGAAGCAACACCGGATCCTCCAGTTTTATCACTAGGTTTTTCAAATCCAAGCTATCACTCAACATATTACCTTGCTCAACATTACCTTCAAAACTTAGTTTCCCACTGCTAAACTCCTATTTTTTTCATAATTATTTTCATAATATGCTATCTTTACCATCTCTGTTAAACCATCTGTGTCATTGTTCAAAGGCAAATTTCATGCCTTAGGGTATCTTTCTTAGCATCAAGATTCCATGTTACTAATTTCTTCCAGACGTCTTTTATTTACTGAAGAAGGAGAAAGGAACGTTACAGAGGATGGGAGTGTCTTATTTCATTTTCTTAATTTGTTTGATTTTAACTTGATCCAATCTTCTCTCTTTTGGGGAATAGCACTCTAGACATTCACGTGTTCTTCCCATTTTATGTTTTAAATATTCTAGTCCTTAAGGCAAATAAGGGGAAATTTAGCCCCATCCCAGCAAGGTGGTCTGTATGATATATTCAACTGGTTAGGAACATTTATCACGGCCATCTACATGCCTGAGGTACAGACAAGCACAATGACCCCATCCACTGCAATGTGCCATAGGTCATTCACGGGCCCATATGTGTTTGTTGTGTGATAAAATCTGCTATGCTGAGAATACTTTGCAGTCTGGGATAATCTGTCATTGTTTCATCAGCACATTTCCCCATTAAGATTAATAAATAGTGATGGCATTGCTCAATTACGGCCATGAGGCTGAGCCTTGAGGAGGCTGAGAAAAACAGGCAAAAGAGATCAGGGTGCCTTTCTCAAACATTTCTGCTGAACACAAGGAGGAGGAAACAATTTTTCTTTCTACTTCTTTTCGTGTACTAAAAATAAACACCTGCCAGAAGCAGTTCTCCACTACTCCAGATGCCATAGATGACTTTGAAGGAGGATGGAATAGGGATTGAAGAGTTGAGGGAGGCACTGGGAAAGAGCTATGGGAAAATATGTATTTCTTTTCCCTCTTTCAACACAGGAGGTTATATTGAAACAGAAGCGGCAGCACAAGAGTCTCTGGGATTAGGCAAACTTGGAACCCAAGCAGAAAAAGACCGAAGGCTAAAGAAGAAGTGAGTACCATGTTCATGTCACTTTTATTGTCTCGTGCTTGAATCAAATGTCAATTTTTGTGTTGATTTTATGCAGATGTGTACCAAGAGGCATCACCATCTACTATGGCAGTTTTTGACTTACTGTGTTTTTTTCTACAGTAAATGTTTTTAATGCTGCGTATGAAATATAGGAAAAATAGGAAAAAATAGTTTTCAATTGCACTACATTGTTTCATTTGTAAAACATTAAGAGACGCTTTCTATTTCCCATTGTAATTACTTTTGAGCCTTTTGGTAACAGTAGTTCTGAAAAAAATAGGAAGGCAGTGAAAAAAAACATTATAGTGACTTACTACATGATTTTTTCTGGACAGAGAAAAATTGTTCACATTATCCATTGAACAAGCATTGAACATTGAAGTCAAAGGCGCCCCACAAGCCCTAGCAGCTTCAAATTCTTTTTTTTCCTGTCAGCAAATGGCAGCCTCGCTGGTTGTTCGCCTAAATCATGTAATCATTTAACTGTCTCTGGTTCACCTGCTTGTAACACCAGTACATTGGTTGATGGCAGCTGCCAGGAACTAAGGAGAACTATTAAAATAAAGCCTTAAACACAAAAGATACATCTTGGCAGCATCACAGTTCCAGTGTAATTAGAGGGTGTCTGAGAAAAAAAAAGATTATATTTAGGTTGAAAATTCATTTAGTAAACAGGTTTATGTTTCATCCATAATTACTAATTTAGTGCTATTATTTGGATTCTGAAAGCCTGATTTTTAAAACGTGGTGTTTTCTGGTCTCTTTCAGTCTTTTAATGCTCCTTTGCAGTTTCAAGATAAGTTACAATCCAAGGATGTAACTTATTTTTCATTTATTGTTTAAACTTAAATGTAGAATATTTTTAACAACTACTTTTGTATCAAGTTTGTTTAAAAGCACATATCTGTGTGACATACAAATCTAAGTGTTCAGTTTAAATCAGCCTCAGTTTAGCAATTAAAGAGCATTCATTGTGCTAGCTGGCAGAGAAGAGTCATTTTCAATTCAACTGAGATACTCAGAATATTCATAGGGGTTTTTTTGGTTGTAAATATATTATCAATCACTATTTATTAAGAAATATATGGAAGTATAGGGTATATTACTACACCTCTTTATTAAATTTTAGAAAGCATTCCAATGACTATTCAGCAGTCTATTGTTTTTTTTGCAACCCCTATTTATATTCAAGCTCTGGAGAATGAAGATAGCACAAAAAGAAAGGGACAAATGTGTTCATTTTGAAAGGACAAATGTCTTCACTTTGTCATATGTTATAGTTATTTAAACTGCTTAAGACAGCCTAACACTTGACACATACTTGACAGTACTTCATACATGATAGTGCCTACCAAGTTTTTGGTCTAGAAAATGTAGGTGTTTAAATAACCAGTTATTAGACTTCTGTCTAATCTCACATAACGAGACTTCCCCATGCCATCTTCTTTTCAAGTCTTTCCTTTTGTTTTTCCTTTTATCTGTCTTCTGTCCTTGGCTCTTTATGGATTAAGTGTAAACAAAATATTCTCTGCTGGAAGGAAAGGAATCTTTCCTTTGTGATCATCACTTGGCTGTCACAGATCATCTGGTCTGAATTGTATACTGTAGTATATGCTATTTACCGGTGTCATTAAGATTTTTTTTTTTCACCACTTTAGGTTTATCCATATTCATAGCTTTTCACTTCACTATGACTACTTATAAGATTCCTCTTAATTTACTATCACAGAAATGTTAACATTATATAACAGCTGTAGAAGTACTTTAGTATGGGGAAAATGTAATATTTGTGTGAGAGAGATATGTGGGATTCTGCTGAATTGTAATTGCCACTGAGTGCTAATTATCAACAGGGTAGAAGGGAACAAACATTTCATAGTAAAGAATGTATTTGCATGTCTTACCTTGGAAAGTATTCGGTTGAGTCTCTCCAAAAAGTCAACTGAATGACAAGTTTGTCTCAGTAGGTCAGATTCAATTTTGCCAATACTTAATGATGCATAACTACCCTTGGAAGTAGCTTTCAATTACATACAACAGCTGTAATATTACTGATTTGGGTAATGCAAATGAGAAAGTAACATTAAAGATGATGCTTATATATACGATGTCTTTGTAAAAATAAGAGAAGGGTAAGAACAATTTTCAGTCTTACGATAGCAGTAAGATTTAAATTTGAGTGTTTGATTCCTTCTTACTGCTAAACAGACTCTACAAATTCCAGAGGCTGAAACAGAAATAGCAGAGCACCTTGTCTTTAAGAATTTCTTTGGCTAATTTAGATTAAGATATAGAGTCCTAAAGGAATCAGGCCTACCAGAAGAATAGTTAAAAGTAAGGAAGTTTTTCATCATACTTATTTACAGATCTGGAAGACCTTTACTCATGCTGGCTTTGTTACTTAGGAAACAAATTCAGTGGTCCAAGAGCGTTTTCTAGGAAACAGGAATAATACCTCAGTGTTGAACTTGTATTTCTCCCTTACACACAGAACTCGTGTGAAATGGTTTTCATTTGTGTTAGCAGCTCAATCAACTTGTCTTTCACTTCAGTGGTGGAACCCATAGATGCAGGAAAGTAGGATTCTGCCCTTGATGTGAAACCAAAGTTAGGACTCATCACTGCAACTAGAACACCTCAAAGGACTTAGTAGCTTCATAAAGCTCATGTAAGGTTTAATTTACCAGATTTTGAATTTAGGTTTGAGTTAATGAGTTAAAAATTAATAGATGCAGTTCCTGTTAAAATGTATTTATTTTGTTTGAAATAACCTCCTAAGTGAAAAAATGCCTTAAAATGCTAAACGTGTAATTTTGCATTTCTGAATGTATTCAACTCTATCATTAATTCAGTAAGTATGTCCCCTTATTTAAGGATGAAGATGCATGTTGTTTCACTCCATAATCTGCTGCAGCCTGTAGGTGCTAATGGCCCCCAGGTATCCTGATGACCTGCTCCTGGAACAGCAAGCACATGCACTGACCCTGCACTGGCTTCATGGAGTTACAAACACTGTAGTGTGTTACTGCTATTTTAGCAGGATTCGTATGCATCACTTAGATTCTTGATTAACACATTTCACTTGAGAGAGTTTCCTGAGATGGTATGATATCTCCAGAAACCAAACCCTCTCCAGTAATAATGGTGTAATTAACCTAAATTTTAAAGTTTTCTTGTTTCTTCCTTAGAAGATGTTATTAAGATGTTACATTTCTTTCAGTTTCAATTGACTACTTCATTAAAATGTAATCATCGGTTTGCTTCAGTGATATGCTAAATTTAAAGACGTCAAACAAAAATCTCTTTTGAATCAACATTTGCATATTGCAGTAAATGTATCCGTAACAAGTTTTTCTTCCTAAAGCATCAAGGACAAACTAAGGAAGCTGTATAGATTTTTTTTTTTTAAATATAACCTCATCATATTCCTCAAGTAATCTGAGAAGAAGAGGTTAGGGTGCTTCAGTCATCCATAAAAGTTTACTCTCAGACCTGAAATACATGATAGGTCTGGCTATTACTAAATTTTGTATGTCTTAGGTAGCACAGCAGTTTGAATGGGTTCTGCTTTGCCTTTCAAATTGCAAAGTGCCAGTAGTTCAAATCCTTTTCAAGTGTTTGATTTGATCTGCAACAATATGCAGTGTATCTTCTCATATTTCAAAAACGTATGTGTTATTAGGCATTTATTGCTGGTTTCACATGTACTCCACAGTACAATGTTTCTTAGAAATGAAAAACTAGGAAGCTTGGAAATGAACATTTTAAAATTTAAAACAATAAAACCACCTGACCTGAAAATAAAAGGCATCAGTGCTTAGATACAGGTTTGCCTGGAAATCGTTATATCATCAAATTCAAAACGATTATTATATTTTTGAAAATGTTACTTTTAAGCTTGTACTTATAGCCAACCTGGCTGTCAACATTGAAGGAAGGCTATGTTTATTTCATCCTTTGCAATGGGCCAGCATAAGGCAAGGTTTGAAAGAGATTCAGATGCTACATAGTCCTAGATTGCCAAATAGATTTGACCTTGTGCGTGCTGCTAGAACAGTTAGAAATTTGTCTATGCCATCACTTTCCCATTTATCCTAAATGCTATATATAAATTATGTTCGTGAAGAAAATTTATGTGCAAGTCAGCTAGCTATTAACTGGGTCCTTCTGACAGGATTCTGGCTCAAAAGCAGCCAAATCTCCAAATGTATTTATATAAATGTTAGTGCAACAGTCATTACTTACTTTGTAGCTGCAGTGAATTCACTCACTGTGTCATGACATGACCATGCCATCTGGCCCTGTTAGAATGAATCAAGAGCAAAGCGTTCAACTTTCATTTTTCTACCAGTATTTGTTTGACTGGATAAGAATCTCCCAGTTTTCTTTTTAATTCTTTTATCAGCATAATAACATAAATCCTTTAATTCCACATCTGCAAGACAAGCTTAAGATGTAAGATTTATATCTTCCAAGGAAAGTCAAAAAAAAAAAAAAAGAAAAATTTCCTATGAACCTAATTTGGGGAAATTTATTCCACAGGTACAGGTTGTGTTTGCAAGATGCAAGTTCCTAACTTCCATCAGACTGCGGAAAAGCCTAGATATGCCAGAACACATGCATACATGTATTCATGAACAAACCTCTGTACAATCAAGACCTCAGTAATTCTTATACATACAGTTACTGTGTAAAATAAAATCTGTTGTATGCATGGCCTTCTAATTGACCTGAAAGAGCTGCAATGCAAATAAGTCTCAACTGACTACAGTAATGAACATATCAAGCACCAGTATATTCTGTATTAATAGAAGAGCATCAGTTTCCTTCTAACTAGAATCAGGGCTGATAAATTCTGATAAACTCACTTGATAAACTGGATAAATTCCTAATAATGCTAAGGTCCTCATGATGTTTTTCATTTTTAAATGTTTTCTTTTTAAATGCTGAATACACACGCAATAAAATTGATAAACATATAAAATAAAATAGAATATTGGGGCTTAGATTTGCCTATGGAAAATTGAACCCATCAGTAAGCTACTTGAAAATATGTGAAGGTGGGCCTTTTAATGAAATACAAGTTTGAAATACTGTAGTCATCACTTAGATTCTTTTTAATCCACACAGTGCCACTTTAATTAGGTCTAATATGTGCAATTGAAATTAGAACTTGATATGATGTATTTTTAATACAAGTAATATCTGTCCTCTGCATTATACAAATGGCTGTTTCCAATGACTTTCTTAATTACACACATTTCAAAAAAATGAATCCAATTGAATTAATTAAGGTCTTTTTCCGTGCCATCCATCTAATGTTCCTGAATACTTAATGCTTATTAAATACTATTATGTCCTAAATGTACATGATTTATTTTCCATCGGTAACTCTTAAGGATATATTTAGGTTAATGCCATTTTTTTCCCTATTTTTGCTTACAGCATCTGTAGAAAAATGCAAACTTAGCATTAAATTTCTTTCTTCCCTCCTCATCAACCAGAAATTACCTGATATAGTTGGCTTTCAGATGGCTCTTTAGTACTTTCTCCCTTTCTAGCAAACAATACTATGTTCAGTACCTGTTATTTTCTGTTTTCCCATTCCAGTAGAGGAGGGACTGATTTTCAGCATTCTGATGAAATCATTGATTGTATGCTGTAGCTACCAAGGTTTTGCCATGGCTGGATTGGGTTCTAGTCCTTCAGATATACGTAAATATGATTTTTTTAATTTTTTTTTTGCCAAATATATTTTCACTCCTTGAATGAAAAATTCTTTGCAATAGCCAGTGAAAGCTTTCACAACATTAAAATTGTATCTTTCTATTAAATTAAGTACTGTACTTGGGGAATTCCTTCCTATTGTAGCGTTACAAGCATAGAGGATTGTTAAATCTTACTCTTATTACTGTAAAGATGAAGAAACTGAAACAATGCATTGTGTCTGAAAGAACATCATAAATAATATCTATATTGAACTCATTTTAAAAGGAAACTGAATTTTTAAAATAATATTTTTATGCTTTGTCAAGAGTTTTTTAATCTTTTCTCCATACAACTTATTTCAACTATTTACATTTTCTATTCAAGCAAAATCTGACAAAGCCCAATTCCCTGCCTTATCAACACAGGTGTATCAACTGCAATTTGAGACTTCTTGACAAATATAAACATCTACTTGCAAACATGCAGCTGATCTCCTGCAGATGCAAATATCAGTTCCAATTAACTGTTTAAGGGAAGAATCTACTAAAAACAGCAGCAGAAAAAAAATACCTACATGTCTTTAGTATACATCTGAGGGAAATTGTTATCTTCGTTCAATAAAATGGTAGTGAAGTTGTTGACTTATGAAAAACTGAGTTCAAATTTAAAGATCCATTTCTTTCTCTAGCATTTTATTTTTCTATGGACAATATGCTCAGGAAACAAGAAGATGATCCTTGATCCTCTGATGTAATAGGGAAGACAGTCTGCAGGTCCCTTAACTTACACTAAGGCAGCTGAAAACTTCCAACTGACTGAAGCTGCCAACAAATTGATCACATTCTGATTAATCTTTTTTATTACTCTCTATCCATATCCAAAGGAGTATTCAGAGGAAGATGTAGGATACAGTTTGATAGACTTTGGAAGGTCCAAAATGAAAGGCAAAAGAGTTCAAGTCAGCCAGTACTTCTTTCTCAGTAGAAAATAAAGATGATGGAATTTTGCCCTCAAAATCATGAGGATGCATATTCAATCTTAATGGTCCCTCCAACACACCTGGTAATTGCTTGACTAGTTTTCTAGTCCTTTATTTATATTCCATACCTTCACTGTCCTCCCATTTCTTAATTTTCCTTTCTTAAACTATCTTTGTATGACTTTGTCATTTGTTTTCATTTACTTTTCTGTCTTGTATTTTTTCTTCTCTCTCACAGCTGTTCTGCTTCTCACACACAAACACAGAAACAAAATTCAAGATCTTGGAACCAGCTCGCTGCTAAACTTACTGAAATGAATACAACATCTTTGTAATTAATCAGAGCACAGGCATTTCACTTCAAAGTTTTCTTCTATAGCTGTACCTACCAAACCCTTTTATATCTCTGTAAATCAAGAGTTAATAGAAATATAATTTAATTCTGAGATATCTGGATTTCATTCCGGCATATAGTTTTCTTTTTACGATGGCAATTAGAGGATGTTGAAGAAATTTTATTATCGATGCATCCTGGTTTCTCGTACAGGTACTGTTATCAATTATATTGGCAAAAATAGGTTACCTAGAGGGAAAAACACTCAAACCAGAATGAAATTATTCCAAACAGAGCAGCAAACTTTAAGTTAAAAATCTACTCCACATTAACCATATTTACAGATCTTTGGTACAAATATGTTTTGCAGATGCACTTTGCTGAGTTGATACCTAATAAATAACCAACATCAGTTTAATAAAAATCTCATTTTGAAAAATGCGTCTGTTCTTCAAAAGAACACATAATTTTTTAAAATATTCAGAGACCATTTAGAAAGATTTTGGTAATTGTAATACTGCTATTATTATTTTGTCTATCATATGGTTTCTTTATGAACTACTGTATATTCATTAACATTTATGTACTTTTTTTTTTCCATTCATCTCTCTTCATCTCATGAAAAGCATATCTGGGTAAGTTAAAACACCATGGCTGCTGAACATATTCATTTTCAGCACCATGTTTGTATTCTATATTTTGTTCTTATTTCTTCTTTTTCTCTTCTGTGTTCTTTTTCCTTTTTTTTTTAATTTTTATTTTTCTTCTGTTACTCCTGTATAACAATATCATGCAGAAAAATGACCCAAATGAAACTTTTCAAAGTATTGAAAGCACACAGAAATTTAGGACTTGTTCCTGCAAGGCTGAACATAATGAAGAAACTATTTGTAAGTAACTGCTGTAGAAGTTCTTAAACACATTTTGGGCAATCTCAAGCCCAGAATTATAAAGACATTTAAAGTTTAAGTCAGTGGAAAAATCACAACAGAAATGGCCCAAAATACTAAAGACATTTATTCATATATATTTTGCTATACTAAATCCCGGAGGACTCAAACTCCCAAACACTTAAGTAAGTAATCCAGAAAACATTCTTTTTTCCTTTTTAAACCCTCATGCTATATAGCAGTACAGTAATATTTCATTTTGCATATGCTCTTACTTTCTTTTTCACCAGTTTTTTTTTAAGTTTTTTTTTTTTTTTAATTGTTACCCTTATATCAAGTTTAAAATTTCTAACTCCTCTTTTATCTACCATACGAATGTTATTTCTTCTTGAATTACTTGCAGAGCTTAGGGAGAAAATTTCTTGCATTCAAACAATGTTTCAGCTCTCACTTCCTGAAGGCTGGAAAGACAGAAAAGCTTGAAGGGAGCAGGGTTTACCACATTAACTTAGAATGTATGATTATGAAATGGCTTCGTAAAATTAGACTTGGTAAGATTTAATCAACCTGGGAATTCCAGGCATCTCTAATTTAGAGCACTACATATAAGATTGCAAGGTTATACATTGTGCAAGTCTGTTTATTTCACAAGTGTTTTATTTTTTTCATAGTCACTCTCTGTAGGTCTAATTTTCAGGGCATAAATTAAGCATTCCTAGATATGTATCCATTAGCTTAATGTATGCCTTCAGTTAAAGAATGTCCCCCCTTAGCTTGCAAAGGCTTATTATGTACACATGAATGGAACAATAAGAGTTAAATCTACTTTCCTAATCTGTATTGTATTGCGCTAAACTTAAAATTGAATTTCTTCATTTTATAAATTTAAAACCTTCTATTTGTTAGTAGCTTCTTGATTCAGGCCTGTTTTCATCTCTCAGTCATTCTTTGCTGAAAACTTCTTAAAAGTTTACTTTACAAAAACTTTTGTAAAGATGGAAATTGAATTTTGCCCATCATTTTGCCCTCCTATTATGCGCAATGTCAAAAAGGAGGAAGAATGAGAAACGAGTTCAACTGATTTAAAAGTCAGGGTCCCTGATAGCCCAAGTTGCATCCAAATTTTACTCAGTGTTTAACTACTGTAGTCTTTAGAAGTCAGATGCATCTTTTCTGATTAAATTAAATCGGTATTATACAGCAATATCATGTCTGAGTCTTTTATTTTTTTTTCCCCTACTTCATTGTTTAAAAATATTTATAGCCCTGCAGGAAGAATGTAGATAAAAAACTTATTTGCCTTAGACATTTAATGCAATTATTAATTTATGTAAGTGCCATTATTAATTTATATAAGTACAGCTAATCTCAACCAGTTTATTTTGTCATCTGATGACACTACCCTCATGATTCTGGTCTCTTACAAATATTTAGGAAAAGGCAGTACAAAAGATAAAACTTAAATCTTCATTTCAATTCATTAGAAATCTTCTGTCCTAAATTTTGGTGTTCTTGAATGCGAGTAGATTAGCTATGGCAATGCTGTACAAATGAGAGACAGATGTGTTTAATCTTACCTTGAAATTATAGAATTACTAAGGCAAACAGTATATCTTGTGTGCATTTATCTTCTAGAAAACAGTTTTTTAGTATTTGGATGTAAACTAAATATTTCAGTATTTCTGATAATAATAACACTGATGGTAGCAATGATAACAGTAATAAGAGAGTCTGCAAGGCAAACTCTTCCACTTGTCTTTTTGGGAAAGCATTTTAAAATTAAAATAAAAGTTCATTTTATGGGATCCAAATCACCCATTGGCCAAAATTTCTAGATAAATTCTGCTTCTATTTTACTATCGTTATTTGGTCTTGATTTCACTGTGCCTCGTTTTCAGTTTATCTCACATTTATGCTTACATTTTAACTGAGTCATTATAATATGCATAATATAACATTCCTGAAGACTCTTCTTGTGAACTTACTAGAACTTTCACAGTAAGTGCTATTACTTGCAAAAATAAGAAGGTCTGTGTTGAAATACTTTTTATATTCAAGTTTCTTCATGACAGCGTTAGGGTCCAGTTTCTGTAATATATGGAGTGTTTGGATTATACATGTCCAAAATTTTAGGCTGTTATTTCTTGTTTTGCCTCATGGTGAGAAGCTCCATCTTCATGAAGAAAATTGAATGTCATTGAATGACATGCTTTAAATCAAGATTTTCTTAACTTCCCACACAAATTCTATTTGAAGAACAGTCTTATTTTTAATAAAGTTCCTTGAGTTTTATGTGATGAGTTGGTAAGGGCTTCTGATACGGAACTAAAATTACCCCTGTGTAATGGAGGAATATATGAGAAATAGAAAATGTCAAGAATAACATAATTCTGGTCTTATAATTTTTCCCTTCTCTGCATCTGTGTACCCTTCATGTCCAGAGGGATGTTGCAGCATTCATAGTCCTCATGACATAAAACAGTTATGCGCTACATTATGTGGTATGTAGTTGTTCCTGGTGCGCATAAGAGTGATGCTAAAGAAAATGGGTCAACATAAAAGTATTAAGAAGTAATTCTGGAGAGAATTAAATCAGTGCTGGGAAAGCAAGTCCACTTGTCTGCCGCATAACTCTGCAACACAATGTGGCATTTTTCTTTTCTGGCTTGTAAAAAAAAAAAGAGAGAGAGAAAGAGAGAGAACAGACCACATTCTGAGGCACTCAAAAAACAGATGAATATAAGCATCTCTCAAATTTTGGGAAAATGCTACGTAGTCAATGTTCATGTAATTTCCTTACTTTGCAAAACATGACTTGGGGTAACAATGCATTTTTTTTTTAAGTAGCATATTGCTGTTAATTCCACAGTGGAAAAGGATTTTATTCTTGAACAATAATAATGTTATATTGAAAAATATGGCATTAATTTGGAATTCATTCCAGTAGAAGTGAGTGGTTTAAAGCCTTATCTGCCAAATAATACTATTTCTAGTAATGCTTAATTAATGTCAATTCTCCCTTATCAACTTGTTTTCATATGGTGCCAAAAAACTAAATGTGTATGGAAATAATTACATTTTAATTCCTTACCTCCTTACCAGTACAAAGTGGACACACTGTAAGATGTAGTACTTTATTGTCAGCTTTAGGAGAATATCCCTACATTCCCCTGCAAAGCATTTTCAACATTAGAGAAACTGTACCATGCTATTCGCTGTCTCTAATCTTTGTATTTGTAGTGAAAGGAAGGAGGAGTGACAAGCTTATGTAGTTTATTTCTCCTCCTCCTGTGATCAGTTGTCTGGTTTTGTAAGGAGAATAGCACTACAGTTGCCACAGTCGTATCTGGATACCTTCTCTTTTTTTTGGCTCAGGAAGCTACTGACTAACCTGAAAGCACTTCATTTCATTCTGTCTGTTCTAAAATACTCAGATTCTGTTCTAAAATAAGCAGATTACCCGATTCGTTTTTCTTAGGATTTGTACTATAGGTCAAAGCAATACATGTTTTTTCCTACATGTAATTTGCAATTTATTTTGGTAGAACTGAATTCCAAGAACTTCCTATATTACTTCATATCCAAAGACAATTTGCTATGACTGACAACTAAAGAATATCTCTCTTAGTCAAGAGATGGAAACTCCTAGTTCTGATTTAGAAATTGTAGGTTCAGGTGATGCAGAACTCCTGATTTATATGAACAAATAGTCAAAGCACACTGTTTTTAAAAGAGTAAAATATAATTTAAATGATCTTTAATATTGGAGAGGCATTTAAATGAAACATCCTAGGGAAGGAAATGAAAGTTTGAAGCATGAAATTATTTTCAAGGGAAAGAAATATTACAAAAAATCCTTTTAGTATTCCACATAAATAAGTGAGGCTCAGGCCTAATGATGACTGTATTCCCTGTGCATGGCTGAGAAGAGAATTTGAGCTTTACACTAGATGTATTTTCAAACCAAAGCTCTTTTTTCCTACAAGCCAATCTTTGAATTATATGTTTATCATACTGTAGTCTTTAGCTATAGCATAGTGTCTTATTTCTGTTCCCATTTTCTTCAGGCAGAATCAATAACTGCAGCTATATTTTCCTTTAGCTGAGTGAGCCAGACTGCCTCTGAAGTAGAAGTGCTTTCCCACTCATGAAGGGTGCATTGAGTAGTGTTCGGCGTACAAAACAAGCCTCAGGCCAACTCCGATGCTGCAAAGTCACAGGAAGCTCCCTAGAAATACTTAAATTATGGTTCCAATATAAGGAAGGTAACTTTTTTCATGGACATGAGAACTTAAAGAGACAAGGCACCTTCTGCAGCGCCTCAGTTCCTGAGGCCACACAGGGATTTAACACCAAATTAAAGGATAAGCCACAAGTTCTTCCTGAACCTCATTTCCTTGGAGACCGTATGCTGTTGCCGTCCTGCTCTGAGCAGAAGACTCTCACGAATAAGTGGCCAGTGGCCCTCAAAATCATTATTTCCATCTTATTTATTTATTGTGATAGCCAGCTCACTTCTTTCAGATGTGATGGGTAAAGAGAAATACCCCAGATAAGGAAAAATCTAGAATCAGGTTCTTCTGATGGTGGTGATTCCAAGAGACTTTAGGCCAGAGAGAAGGAGCTGCACCCTGGGCTTGGGCTGGCTTTAGAGAAGGACAAATTCCTGTGGGGATCTGTAGGATCTGTGTTTTGCCCTGTGATACTGAACCCAGACAGATGAGGAGGGGGTAGCTTCAAAGACTTGGCTCTCCCTGAGGACAGCTATGCCAGCTAGCAATCCTGCTGGCCCCAGGAGATCTGCCATCTCCTTGGGGTGTTGAGGGATAGCCAGGCTAGATCGCAAGCACCCTGCAAAGATATCTCTCGGGGAAAGCTGAACCCAAATTCCCCATCTGCGGATATCTGAGATGTGGTTGTTTGCTGATAGTGGCCATACCTCAGCTCTGCTTTACTAAGCAACGAGTATATGCCTCTATTGGCCCACACTGCTGGTCTTCCTGGGAGTATGGGACTCTCCAGCTATTGAAGGTATAACGTCACATTTGGGTGCCCAAGTAGCAAGTCTTTCTCATCTTACAGAGGACTGTGCCATCGTAGGAAGCAAGGGTAGCTCTTCAGTGTCTTTGGACAGCCAGGTGGCAGTGGATCAGCTAAAGAGCTGTGCTGCAAAAGATGTGTAGGAGGAGAAGCTAAATAAGCTTCAGTAAAGCTGTCAAGAATCTGTACTATTGTACATTACCACAGCAGCAACAAAGAAACTAAAGCAACTGTCTTTCTATTAATGCTGAGAGTGAGGGATTTAAACGCATTTGCAAAATTGCTGTTTGAGTTCCATGTTTTTACTAAAGCCAAATTGTCTCAATCTAGCCCCTTAGCAGTGCAAAAATCCCCAAAGCAACACTCCTTGTAAGATCATTCAATTGCTTTTATCTGCTGTGATTTTGCAGTACATATACTTGAAAGGCTGCTTAGGCAGTGAAGAATTGCCGTGGGATAACTGAACCACAAAGGCTGTAGTAATAACAGAGGACAAAGCTGGAGCTATAATTCCAAGATTTCCTTGTTGGGTGGGAATGTAAGCAAATTTTAATACTCCATTAGCATAGTCTCTATCTAATTTTGTTCTCACCACACCTTATTGCTGAGAGCATTCTTTTGTGTTTTGCTCAGTAGGAAACTGCTGAGAATATGTTGTTAAATATCAGGAAATAGAAACAACTTACAGAAGGACCACTTCTGCTATGCCACCACCACAAAGGGACTTTTATTCATGCTGCCTAATACAACGGTGCTCAGTTAGACGCCTGGTCAAGTAGTTGAACACATTGAATATAGAACATTTTCCTGACAGTGTGGCTGACAGACCTATACTTTACAAAATATTTAACACTACTGTATTAGAAGTGCATTTTAAGCTTTGGGAGTGGTACTTTTGCCACAGTTTTTTATATACATTCATTGCAGTCCAAAGAAGCTGCAGAGGCAGTAGTTGGATTGGTATCTGTTCAGTTCTGTAAAAGTATATCCATAGGTATGTATAAAATTGAGAAAGCAAATTCTATAATCATGAAAACGTGTACCTCAGTAAACCACATGGATTTTCTTTGTGTGTAAACAAGACAAAAACTAATAATGTGCAACTACAAAATATTTAACCAACTCTTTATTAAACATGGATGGCTTATTTAAGATGCAGAACATTGTATTCCATTCCATTCTTGTATTCCAGAGGCCACAAAATTGTACATGGCCAGTACAACAAGGTTTTGTGTTTCAAACACAAAGAATCCACAGATTCTGCTGCATTACATCCAGTCTTAGCTAAGATCTGAAAGCTGGCCATTTGGGCACATTTCGAGTAATGACCAGACCACAGCTAAACTAGGCTCAGGAGGAATCCCAGAATTTTCCCAGTTTCCCAATGTCTTCTATTGTCTGAGAATAGAGAATACCCCAATTCTTTATTGCTTCAGATCAGTACACATAGAAACTTTTTGTATGTTAGGTGACAAAATGGACAAAGGACATCAAAATTCACTAAGGAAAAAAAAGTTAGGAATAGAATAAGGAATATGTTCAAGCAAGAGAAGGAGCTATGATGTTCATTGTGAATTCTGTGCCTTTTCTATGCCTGTCATTGTGCTTCACTGTTGTTACCCTTAATGATGAGGCACGGTTGCATCTGTATTGTCTTTATACACAGATCTGCATATTTAACAGCTTTTGATTCATTTTTAGACATGAACTTCTGGAAGAAGCTCGGAGAAAGGGTTTGCCCTTTGCCCAGTGGGATGGGCCTACGGTGGTCGCCTGGCTGGAAGTAAGCACTTCTCACACTGGTGGGCCACTTCTTTACCTAGATATCATTCCAAACAGAAGGAATTGTTTATTATTCACTTTCACCTGAAATGTGGGAGATGCAGATTGAAATCCTTATGACAGGCACTTCCTTCATCTCCACCATCAGTTGAGGTGCTGAGGGCTATCCTTTATTTCGAGGGTGTATATGAATGGAATTTGGAATACATCAAGAGAAAATTCTTCAGCAGAAGTCTCTACCAATTTTGACAAAAATCAATTTTAGTTTTAGGTGAAAGAACTACTTGAAAAACACCTACCCAGACCTTGGGGGAACATGAAGGCAGAATGTCAGGATGTTCTCATACATTATAGACAATCACTTCTATGTGGCGCCAGCTCTGTGCAGAGACAAGCTCTTTGTTGGCTAAAGCTGTAGCATCTGTTCTTTGTCTGCACCGAGTGTCTCCATGTATTCCCAACTATTCTCATGTCTGATCATCAGAAATAATCTGCAGAACTTTTCCCTGCAACTAGAAAAAATAGCCCCACTTCAAAGCTTTGACAGAAGCATGTTCAGGGAATAAGTAAGGAGTGAGGAATGAAAGAAGATGACATCTACAAAACTTCCACTTCACATTTTATTTGAAGATTCTTAATGAAAAAGGATGAAATGAAAACCACAGAAAGGCTGTTCAAGCATTCAGACATAACCTTGGAAAATGGGATGATATCTTTCTTCCAGAAAAACAAACTGCTATCAAGGAACATTTGTTAATTTGGCTGGCAAATGACTTTTCTGGGAAGTATGACAGTTGTGTAGCCAGATTTATATCAGTCAGAAATATTCACTATTACAGTGACAACTGTAATACTACAATTACTGGTAAGGTGCACAGCAAAGGTCTAAGCATTTCCAAGTACTGAAAACAGTTTGTCCCTTAAAGTCCTCCACTGTGATGTAAAATGTGGGGATATTTCTGGCAATTTAAGTTCTGATTTTTTTTTTTTTAATTTTTTGCCTTGATTCTTAGCTGTGAAAGTGATGCTTCCCAATGCCTCAGAGAGATGTTTTAAAGAAAAATTGATGTCTCTGAATTTCTGGGGAAACGTAATGAGAGTAGCACAGGAAAGCTCATGCAAAAGGTTATGTTGCAGTATCCAGTGCAAACTGTGTCCTGATGATAAAAATAAATGAGGCAGAAGTGTTGGATTTATTCAGTGAGCATCAGTGCATTCAGCCATCAGATAGACACTGTGTGCATTCCATACTCTCCTGGGGAAAATGTAATGTGTGACCCTGGGAATACAAACTGAAATTAATATCAAAGGAGCCAAAGGGCCAATTTGAAGTAGTGGATGTGATTGCAGTTGTGATATGTCCAAGCTTTTCAGGGCTCAACTTCTCAGCATTAGCATTTATTCTGGTCATTTGTAGGTAGCACAGACATAGCTGAGATATATTTTAAGAACTGTGACTTTTCTTAACTAAAGAAAAGTGTATCAGTCTTGAACTGTGGATTCACTGCCTATGTGTGAATTCTATACTGTAAATGTATCCTATTTTTAGGGACTGTTCTCATCCACCTTCATTTTCTGATAGGGACAGCTGTTTGTTAAAAAACTAGTTTACCTAATGAGCAGCAAACACAGGAATCTGTTTCTGCAGAGTGAATAACTCCCAGTGTTCATACATCTCTGCTTTTCAAGCGCAAATATGAAAAAGAAATAATTAAATGGAAGTCAAATTAAATGGAAGTATTAAATATATTTTAAGTCTATATGTAGTTTCCACATGGGTCTTTGTTTAAGTGCAACTGTATATCACAGAATCACAGAATGTCAGGGATTGAAAGGGACCTCAAAAGATCATCTAGTCCAATCCCCCTGCCGGAGCAGGAACATCTAGACCTAGTCATACAGAATCTATGTAAATCTTGTTTTCATTTTTTATTTTCAAGAAGCTTTTTATGTCATTGCAACTAAACTGAGATTAGATCATATTTTCCAGGTTCAGACTAGAATATTCACTATTTTGCTGCACAGCAGAAATCTCACATTACACTACGTGCTTCCCAGTGCCAGTGGCAAGAACTACGTTCTAAAAAAATCCAAAATGTCACCTAGAGTTAAGTACCTAGATATCTTTGTTTTCCATTGCGCTATCCTCAGAATCTCAGTGGTTATGGCATTTGCTGCCTACATGTGCTTTTCACACTTTATAGTATAATGTATTTCACGCCACGACAAAAACTTCCAATGTGTATGTAGCCCTACTATGGAATTACCTCTTTTGGGAGCAAAGATGTGTAGACACTGATAGTCATATCAGTGAGGAAGCTCAGAAGACATGGCAGAATTTGTACTGAGTACGTTCCAAGAGTGCTAGAGATGGAAAGCACCTCTTAGAAGAAAGGACCAGGATGCTGTGCCACTTTGAAACACAGGGCTGCTGCTGACCTAGGCTAATAAGTCTCCTAAGCAGAGAAACCTGAAGTGGCAGTTACTTATCTTCTGAATCCATGGTGATGTAGTTGTGCTCACATCTCACTGTAACTTTTTTACCAGTCTTTCCAGTCAGGTTACTACCACACCAGCTTATTCCTAGATTTGCAGTATGCGCAGCTCTCACTAGGTTGGTTATGTGTACTGTGCTTGTTTCTATAAAGAAAATACAAGTGGCAAATGATAAAAGTGCCCCATAAGTATACCATAGGGACTAACATGGAAAGAGAATGAAAACCAGATTAGGACAAAATGGTAAAAATAACTTAAATGATTCCTATTTGTTTCTTTTCTGTGCATGATAAGACTATGAAACTACCAGTGATGCTGACTCGTGCCACAATTTGCTTGAGAGCACAGGAAAGAAGTAGCCCAGATGATGAAGCTCTAAAAAATAATCCAAAGGATTCCTTTGCTTTAAATGTCTGGCTACAATAGAAGCAATAAAGAGTTCCTGTGAAGTCATGGCAATTTCAGTGCTTTTGAAACAATTTCATTTTAATAAAGGCTATGATAATTATATTCATTTGTGTGAATTACTAAGCTTATTCAGGTTGATAGGTGCCTCAGTGATTAATTTCATCTGAAAAATGAAGTGGTGCTTGGAACAAATGTGTGCTTTGTCTCAACAGCTCTGGCTGGGAATGCCAGCTTGGTATGTGGCCGCCTGCCGTGCCAATGTGAAGAGTGGAGCCATCATGTCTGCTTTATCTGACACCGAGATTCAAAGAGAAATTGGAATCAGCAATCCTCTTCATCGCCTAAAACTCCGATTAGCAATCCAGGAGATGGTATCACTCACAAGCCCATCGGCACCTCCAACATCTAGAACAGTGAGTTCTGTTCAGATAACTTCTTTCCCACTTCATTCTGCAGGAGATTGCAGAAAGGCTTTGGTAGTAGCAGAGTGACTCTGATAACCCACGATTCCCACTCAATATGAACAGTCTTATGGAGAAGCATTTGTTCATCATTCACTTGATTATTGATCACTGATATATTTACCTTATTTGTAATTTTACTTGTAGGTTTGCCCTTCTGTTCCTTCAGGTGAACTATCCCAGCCAAATCAGATTGTCTTTTTGTGTTGTTTACCATTTTTATCATTTGTGGAGTTTTGTAATGCAGGAGGGAGAAGGGGTTGTTTAGGAATATAGCTCTTCTGAATCTTGTTCCCTTTCCCCTTTTTGTACCCTTTCTAATGATTTACGATCTGATTTGGCTGCTTGAAGGTACCTCATGCTTTTAGGAGAAGCAGTGATTAGAGGCGTAGAAGGCAGAAGTGGAACACATGGGAAGGAAAGAAGTAGAGATAAAATAAGTCTGAAAGGAAAGGGGGGAATATATTAAAAAGAGCCTGAAAGTGCATTGGGGGAGAGCAAAAATGTTTGTGCTGTAGATAAAAGACATTTTTTAAAATGGAAAATGGAGAAAAACAGGCCAAATGGATGAGGAGAAAAAGAAAGAAGGCAATGAGAGGGGAGTTACATGCTGAAAGGCTGATGGTGATGGCTATGAAGAAGGCAACAGAGACTGAAACAACAAAAAAACTCCTGAACAAGTTAAAAAGTAAGGTTTGATTGAATGGGAAACGTGGCATAGAAGTGAAAGACAAAGACTACTGCTTACATAGTGCGGCCTGGACTTCTGATGATATTAATAATGTTAATAATTGTCTTTTGTAATTTCTAATTTCATGGAATTCATGAAGCATCTTTTGGTAGAAATTAGAATTGAGATACCTTGGAGGGATTTAGTAATTTATCCAGAACCATTGAGGTATGTAAGCAGTTGAGATATGGGACAAAAGGACCCAAATGTTCCCATTGGTTGGCCTTTCACCTTTGCACTGCTAAGAGGCTTTCAAAAATTATAATTCCCCATCTGATACTTCCTCCCCACAGAAAAACCTAACCATGGTAATGTCACAAATTATAATGTGAGTATATATTACAGACACAATACAGTGTTGAATTACTAAAAATACATTTCCTATCAAAATCTATTTTGGATATTTTTGATTTCAAAGCACAAGAGGATTGTCACTTAGGAAATAAGAAAACAACACATTCAAGCTAGTAGCTTGGGAATAATTTGCTCTTGACTTCTCCTTATGTAACTGGCAGCAAAATGCTGCACTGCCCTCAACTGCGCATTTCTGAATCCCAAATCTTTCTGCTTCCCCTCTTCTTCAGGAAAGGAGTTAATTTACTGCAGCCCCCAAAAAAGCACAGTATATTCCACCTTGTGTGCACAGCAGGCTTCCCACCCATTTCCTGCATCATCTCATTGTCCTTGCAAGAATCTAAATGAAAACAGGTCAAAGAGGAAAACAGCAGTCTTACAAGCGTATTCTCTTGACATTTTAGTTTTGGAAATGTGGGGGAAGCAATCATTATTTAGATTACAATATGAGCTTGTGATGTGTGCAGAATATTTAGTCTGGAAAGTCTTTGAGAAATGAAGCTTACCTACAGATAAATCCATGACCTAAAGGTTGTATTTGCTACTTGCGTGTGAAATGCAGCTTTAATTCTTCTCTCCTTTGCGGCTGTGCTCATCCATCAGTGCTAGCTGAAACATTCCATCACATCTGTTTGGACTCCTCTAACAAAGAAACAAACCAAATTGTCTCAAGTTGTCTCTAACTGCCGCTCGGTAGAGGCAAGATGATGGTTGTGCTGATGGTGATGCTATACGCTGTTAACTTACAGTGGTGCTGCCTTTCTTCTTTACCACTGCTTACCTAATGTGGATCCCTCCTGCCTCCCTGCGGGCCCTGCTCGTAGCCCTCAGGCAATGTTTGGGTGACCCATGAAGAAATGGAAAATCTTGCTGCTCCAGCTAAAACGGTTAGTCCTTCCCTTTGCATGTAAGCATTACTGCAGTGCTCAAAGCAGCTTCTGTAGGCTGCTTCCAAGCATGCCAGTAGAAAGAGCAATTCTGTTGTTTCTCAGCAAAAGAAATTTCAAACGGTGTTGTAATCACAAAGATTGTGCAAGCCTAAAAGTTGAAGTTCTACATTGTTTTTTTTCTCTGCCAACTTGAAACTTCACTCAATGAAATAATGAAATAGCTGAATGTTGTTGGTAAAAATAAACTTAGTGACACTCAATGGACCAGAGGAAGAGTTCATCCTGTTTGAGTGGTCAACCAGAACAATATATTTTTGCCATAAAATTGCTGTGTGAAAAGCGCTGTTCAGTCTATTCAGAAGAACACAGATTTTATTGTGAACATTACAAGATCTAACTAGAAACAAATAATTGCATTTTTAACACCCAGTTTTGGAGAGGAAATGACTGTATTTTGATCATGAATCATAGAAAGTATTTGAGATAATGATGTAGAGTTTCACTAAACTGTAAAGATTTTGTATCTTGAACACAGGTAGATTTGCCCTGCTAAAATTTTATGGCTATAATCTTCGTAAATCCTTCTGGTAGCTCATCCCAAGGCATTGAAAGTAACTTGAGTTTAGAAATTTTAACAGTACATTTTTCAGATATGTTTTTAATCATAGTAAGATTGCCATTTGCATGAAAGCCACATCTGCTTTTTAACTCATTTTTATTGTCTTTTTACCTGCTTTACTAATTGCTTCCTGTTGATAACACAGAAAGAGTCTGAAGAAGGCAGCTGGGCCCAGGTATGACCTTTTTGCATGATTTTTTTTGAATGTAGGGTTAACAATAATGTAATTAACGCATTATCAATAGTCAAAGAGAATGGTATTGTGACAGTATCTCAAAGACTGAATTGTAATTTGCACATGCTATAATTCTTCATTAAAAAAAAAAAATTCTTCTTCAGACAGGTTTGCTAGGGAATGCACAAACAGATGCGTATGTAAATATTTTTCTTAAAAGGAAATGCTGTGAGGTATACAAAACAATGATTCGAAGGGCATCAACACAGTCCTTTATTTTACATGCCCATTACTAATATGATTTGTTAATATCCCAAGGATGATAAAGAATTAAAGCATTCAAATAAGTAGCAGCAAATTATGAATGCTGATAGTTTGATAGCCCAAAATATCCTATGGAATTTGGACATTTGGGATACCTCAAATGCTAGCAGAAAGCATTTACCAGTCATTTCAATGGAGTAGGCTGTGTCCTTGCATTCAGCTTGGAGGATTTTTGTTCTCTGAATATAGAATCATAGAATATAGAATCACTGAATCATAGAATCACTGAATGGTTTGGGTGGGAAGGGATCTTTAAGATCACCAAGTTCCAACCCCCCACAGTGGGAAGGGACACCTCCTTCTGGACCAGGCTGCTCCTGGCCTTGAATGCTTCCAGGGAGGAGCATCCACAGCCTCACTGGGCAACCTGTTCCAGTGTCTCACCACTCTCTCGGTAAAGAATTTCTTCCTGCCATCTACTCTAAATCTACTCTCTTCCAGTTTAAAACCACTTCCCCTTGTCCTGTAGCTCCGTGCCCTTATAAAAAGTTTGAAAAATTGATCTGTTTTGCATCTTAATTATGCAAACCATATAAAAAATAGTACCACATGCAGGTATTTGTTTCAGATACTTTTTCCTCACCCTCTTGAAATCTTAGCTGCACAACGTAGTAGCTTCATGTCTCATCTCTATGAGAAATCTGGCTTGCTCACATTTTAAAAGTTGAGCTTACGAGGCACTTATGTTTAAGATGGTGACAGCTGAAAATATCGTATTTTGTCACCTGCTGAAGACCACTCATGTAAGCTTGGCTGACAAATGAAATTAACATTTAGTCTCGGGAGTAATAATGAATTGCAGAAATGAGAAAAGCCATTAGCTCCTACTGGGGAAATCACAGCCTCCTCCCCCCACCGACACAGAGCGACACAACTGCAGTTGGTTCCTTGCAGCCATGTTTGTGTTACCAAGCATTATGCAGGATCTGCCTAGCATATGTATTCCAGAAGTTGAATGGACAGCCTGTAAGACCATGAAGCAAACGCATTTGGACTGTGTGATGTACTGGCATGCATTTAAAAGACAAAATGGAAACTATTACTTTGTGTTCTAACAGTTGTTTACATTTTGCACAGATAGCAAACAAGATTAAAAATGCTAAGTATTGCTATTGGTAACAGAGTAGCTGACAACTCCGAATTATGAAATGTCAAAATAATGAAAACAGTGCATGTTTTTCCTTTAGACTGATTTTCTAAGCTAAGAAGTCTTGCTAGAACCAAACATAGTATGTCAATATAGTCTTCAGTCTGTGGTGCAACCCAGAACAAACTTATGGAAATAAACCCCCCCCCCCCCCCCCCCTTTTCTTTTTTACTGATTTTTCTTTAGACCCTGGCCTATGGTGACATGAACCACGAGTGGATAGGTAATGAATGGCTGCCCAGCCTGGGCTTACCTCAGTACCGCAGTTACTTCATGGAGTGCCTGGTCGATGCGAGGATGTTGGATCATCTGACGAAGAAAGATCTGCGTGTGCACTTGAAAATGGTGGACAGCTTCCATCGGTATGTCTGCACATGCAAGGCCTCTCGTGTCAGATGCAGCACTCAGTGCTGCTCAGAGCAACAGTGCTTGCTATTTGTAGTTCTGGCCTGGAAAACCTCATGGAGGAGTTTGTGCCGAGTGTCAAAAAACATGAGCAGAGAGACTGACTCCTTCAGTAAGAGCAACTGCATCACAATGCTGTCTCATAACTGAGATACTGGTACAGATAATTTCATAATAAGCAGGGAACCATTAATGTATAAACAAAGCCATTAATAACAGAAAAACAAATAGTTAATCTATTAAATGGCCTTAAATTATCAGAAGATGTTGAACTAAGATTGGGAGTCCTGAGTCTTTGTAATAATGAAAAGCTATTGTGTGCAGCACATGAAATCTGCTCACAGAGCAAGCACATTGGCAGTTACTTGGGTTATCTAGGGACACAGTCAGGAAGCTAAATTGGAAATATGGAAATAAAGGCTTTTGACTTCAGGAGAAATGATGTCTATGTGGCAAGAAGTGGATTTTGTTAAATTTGCTATCTGACACTTCTTTTTGAGGACTGATTTGACAAAACACTTAATTGGTCTCCCAAGGCCTGGCCTTTTCTTAATGTTTCAGGTTAATTATGCTATAACATGTATTCAAACATGTTCATTTTGGTTTGTCCATTTCAATTTTTAAAGTCTGTGGAGTTTTTTTTAATGATTTTGCTCTCCTTTTTTTTCTCAAGACCTGTTACATGGGCCCCATGAAACAGCTCATGTGACATGCAGGAAATACATCCTAAATATGTTCCCATCTTCACATTTTTCTTTATTAACTCTGTAAATGTTTCTCTTTAAATAACAGAACAAGCTTGCAATATGGAATCATGTGTTTAAAGAGATTGAATTATGATAGAAAAGAACTGGAAAAGCGAAGAGAAATGAGTCAGCATGAAATAAAAGGTGATAGTTCCTGGGAATGAATACTGGGAATGTTTCTTTTGAAGCTTCACACTATTAACCCCCTTGTCATGCCACTTAGCAAAGCATTTAAGCATGTGCTTTAAATAAACCTTGCACAAATCCAGCTGTTGGCAGAACACAGAACCTCTCCCTAAATTAGGCACAGTAATACTTTGCTAAATTGGGGCTGCAGTTCTGAACAGTGGTTTGATGTCCACCTTTTGCTAAATGGGATGCTGGGCACGGATCCTATCCATCTTTAAGTCTCAGAAGCAGAAGGCCAAACAGCCTCAGGTCAGTGAGAGGTGTCGGGTAGCCCTGGGGCACCTAACCCTGAGCACTTGGACAAATCTTTGCATTTGATGTCCCAGTTCACAGCACGAACTGCAAAGAGATTGCTGGGGGGGAGGCCACCAAGGCAGTTGTTTGAAAAATATGCATATATACAGGAGCAGTTCCTAACAGAACCAACCTCATTAGGGGATTTAGCAGCTGATTTAGAAGTATTTTTCTGCACAAAGCTCCCTGGAGCAGTTGCAGCCTCGCTGCACAGCTCTCTTTTTTTGTGGGTAGCAATTAGGGCTGTTGCTCCCCCCTGCCTCCATGCTGAAAGTGAATCCTTTGATTCCTCAAGCATTGCCAGCTCTGAGAGTGACAGCAGTTTGTGCCTTTCAAATGCAGCGCTTATTGGAAGAACTGAAAGAAAAAGGTGTGTGGGGGAATTCAGAAGGGTAAAAATCTTTGGAGAGGGCAGGTGATGGCATGCACTAAGCCAAAGACTTGGAACTGGAGGCATCAGGTCTGCCTGAGTGGCTGTGGCTGGACTCTCATATGGGGTTTTGGCTTTTGGTCTGGGATCTCAGAGTTGCTCCAGCAGACCTGAGAGCAGGGTAACCACCAACACATCACCCTTCAAACTGCACCCTGCTGACACAACCAGGCAGGGGTTGGGCTCAGCGATGCCAGGCTGCGGTTGGACCCATCCTGACACCAAAGTTTGGGATGTGATGGAGAACACTGCTCCTGGGAAAAGCTCTGCTGTTCTGTGGCTTCAGGAAAACCCTTCACCACAACGCAAAGTGCAGTACAGTATTTCCCACTCACAGGTACAAAGAGCAGTGGGAGTAACTTTCTTTTAATGTAATGGACAGGGCAGGGTACTTTTTTTTACAAGAGCAAAATCCTCTTAAACGGTTTCCCAGCTCGTTTTGTTGCCTTAGCCTTCTAATTTCCATGGACTTGAACAGCAAAACCAGCTTTCAGAACTAATAATAATTCCAGTCTCCAACACTGTGAACTTTCCACCAGATTCTGCAGGTGCAGGCACAGCCCGCAAATGTCTGATACAAAATGCTCAAGTGAAGCCTCAAAGAATGGGTATTTGTGCTGCATGACAAAGCTGTAAAATCTTGCTTAAGAACTGGAAAGGGTTTGGAGGGTGCCCATTACACCTGCCACGTTTTCTCAGGCCTTGCTTGCTTTAATTTCATCTGTCTCAAAGTGAGGTGATCAATCAGTGAGCTAGAGGCTCCTTTAGAGCTGATAAATGGACGATGGATCTCTAGAAGAGGTGAAAGGAACAATGTTCTGGAGATGCCCTCTGGAGGCACATGGGAAACAATTTTCTTTAGAAAGCATTCAGAACAACCATTTAACAACCATGTAAGGGGAAGGCAGCTAAAACTGCAAAGCTGTTCCCACACACCTTGGGTTTTCACTGGGAGTCACTGAAGCCATTAGAGCTGTGCTAATAGTTTACTGATGTTCCCCATGCAGAAATTAAACCACTTTGAATGCATGCAGCTGTACAGTTTGGAAGATACTAGTTACCAGGCCCTGACCCACTGTCATGTTCTTACAGATGTGCTGGTGTGGAGCAATGACCGCGTCATCCGCTGGATCCAAGCAATCGGCCTACGGGAATACGCAAACAATATTCTAGAAAGCGGTGTACATGGTTCCCTTATAGCACTGGATGAGAACTTTGATTACAGCAGTTTAGCTTTATTATTACAGATTCCAACGCAAAACACCCAGGCAAGTCTGCTCACACTACTTCTGGTTAATCTGTACCCGTGATTGCCACTGATTCCTCTTCAACCATTTTAATTGTTGACTTTGGTATCTCTAGGCACGGCAGATCCTTGAGAGAGAATACAACAACCTTTTAGCACTAGGAACTGAAAGACGACTTGAGGAAGTAATTAATTTTATTTTCAGTATTTATAAACTATCACAGTAAAACATAAAAGTTGAATGCAATGCATGAAGATATGTTAATCCACCCATGGTTCAAAAGAGCTGTTGCAGATGTTTAAAAAAAAAATAAATTAGGAAACCAAGGTTTTCAAAGTGGCCTCCATATGGCTACATATCCATCCATCCATCCTTAGCACATGGGACACTAATGTGTGCTCTGCACTCTTAAGATGAATGCTTTCCATGGAGGAAAAACATAGAAAGGTGCATGGGAAGATGAGGGTAGATGGGGCAATGGGGAAAGGCCTGAAAGGTCTGTGCAACCTGTTCTTTGGGCCACTTCAAACTTTTATTTGAAGACAAAACAGAGGACAGGAAAAAGTGCATTTCTGGCAGTTATTTTTTTTAAGACAATCAATGTATCCCACAGTGAGAGTGAGGGAAGTTACCTAGGAATCTCAAATACAGCTATGGAAAACATTCATCTCAAGGTCAGACTCTGGTGCAGAAATGTTCAAGGAGCAATAAACATTTTAAGGGCTTGACAAAAATGTGTGATACCTACCAATTCAGTGCATGTTTAATTCCATGCTAGAGCTTTACTTAAGCCTCCAACTGCAGTAACAAACCACTGCAACAAATATCATAACAAACCACTATATTTATAAGAGACCTAACTTCTAAGAAACTATTCTCCAGCATGTCAAGTCACCAACTTAAGCTTTTCACCCTAGTGTTTAGTATTAATTTCTTAAAGCATTTACTTTTGTAAGAGCATCTCAAATGCACTGGACACAGTGCAGCAAAGTAGGGCACTTGTTGCAAACCAGACCTGTCGGTGGGTGAGGCAACAGCCAGGTGATCAATGGCAGATTTCCCTTGGCTTTATCCGACACAACTCTGTGTCTCGACAGAGCGACGACAAGAACTTCAGGCGCGGCCCCTCCTGGCGACGACAGTTTCCCCCCCGTGAGGTCCATGGCATCAGCATGATGCCCGGCTCCTCTGAAACGCTGCCGGCCGGCTTCAGGTTGACCACGACCTCAGGGCAGTCCCGGAAAATGGCAACTGACGGTATGAAGTCATTTCTGCACTTACAGAAAGCAGGAGGCTTCCCCTAGCATGGTAACCTGACTTCAGTGCACAACTGTCCTGTCACAAACAGCCAGGTTCACCTACTAGCACAGGATGGATGAATGGAGTCTGGGACAGGGGAAGGAGAGAATGGCAGAGCACTGACTTGGCATGCTAGTGATGTTGCTCATGTTTGTGTAAGACTGTTCATTGAAAGTAAATATAGAACTGGCCATCCTGAGTGCAAAAGAAACATTCAGAAAGAGATGTTTATTCGCTGATGTTCAATCTGAGAGTACATACAAGATCTAAACAACTTTTTCAGCTGACAAACCTCTCCATTTGGCACAGTTTATTTCAGAGGATGAGCTTAGGATAGTGATAAGAACAAGGAGGAATGGTTTTAAACTGAGGACATTTAGGTTAGATAGTGGGAGGAAGTTTTTCACACAGATGTGATGCTCTGGAACAGGTTGCCCAAGGAGGCTGTGGATGCCCCATCCCTGGAGGCATTCAAGGCCAGGCTGGATGTGGCTCTGGGCAGCCTGGTCTGGTGATTGGCGACTCTGCACGTAGCAGGGGGTTGAAACCAGATGATCATGGTGGTCCTTTTCAACCCAAGCCATTCTATGATTGTATGGTTCTATGATTTAGATACTCTTTTAGGGAGCTGTTATCTTTACTTTCATATCTGACAATCAAAGAAGTCAAGTTTATAAATTGTTGTAAGAAGGCAGGGAGAAAAGGGAATTCCATTGCGGCTCTTCCATCAGATATGTGAACAATAAAAGCCATGCGAGTGCACCTGTCTGAAGCTTTGAGAAGTAATGTCCCATTTCTAACAAAGCTCTTTACTTCCTCATGAGAGAATTTAGGTCTACAAACAGGTTTGTCTTACAGTAATACACTGTGGTGATTACATTTTGTAATTCTTTAATGAATTTGGTATGAAAGTTCAAACATCTAAATTCCATTAAAGTTTCTCACCCTCTAAGAATATTTCTTTATAACTGCAGTTGCAGATGGAATAATTTACTGATTGCATCACTGTATTCATTGATTTCACTGCTCATGCGCACGCTTTGCTTTTAATCCTGCACTTCTTGGTAATGTTGAAGCTGTACAACAAAAATCCATTCCAAGGCAAACTCCATGCACAAAGAAAGGTGCAAACTCCCAGGGCACTTCCACTTTCTGTAGTAGACAAGGCCCATATAAGCATTCATAGACTTTGTCTTTTAACCTCGCTATGAAGCAGAAGACACTATTTGCATTTTATAGATGGGGCACTGTGGCATAGGGGAAATTCAGGTGATTCACCTGATTTAACTCTGGTCTTCCAGACTGTTTATTACTGAGCTGGATACAGAATCTAGTAACATCTAAAATGAGGTAGCTTTGAGACCTATATCTTCATCTAGGATTTGGTTTCCTATCACCCGCTGCTGAGAACACTCCGGTATTTGAACACCATGGCAAGTACATTATAAGGACTTCTAACAAAATAAATGCAAAAATAAGTTTAAGCTGTACTTACTTACTTAAGGAATACAGATTCAACAGTAGACATGAAGAGACTTTGAATGAGTTCTGCACTAGATTGCACCCAAATTATGTCATAGAACGTCACAGAGCAATTTAATAGCCATCCTTCAAGTGGGAAACAGAATTATTTATTTTATTCATAATTCTAAAGAGGTTCTGGTTTGTTTCTTTTTTTTTTTTTTTTCTTGCAATTTGCAGTTGCTTCATCACGACTGCAGAGGTTAGACAGCTCAACAGTTCGCACATACTCATGCTGACAAGGCCTAGCAAAGACGCCAGCACTGAATTGCTGTGAGTATTCAAAAGGGGCCATTGTGGAACCTCTTTATGTACACTGCACCCATTGCTCTTTGGCACCTATTCAAGCAAGAGGCAGCATGAAGCAGAGGACCTAACTCAGAGCCACTGAGTGGCCATTTGATTAAACCAACAGTTTCAAGCTCAGTCCTGGAGACACTGCTCCCCTCCTTTCCCTACCTCCAATGGCAGGTTCTCTCTGCTGGTACCACCTTAGCAGATAAAACAGTTCCCAGATGACTTCTCTTCAGGTGATGGCTTGCCAAGCATAACAAGTGTGTTCTCTAAGCTAGAACAGGGGAGCAGAAGGCACAGGGACTTCAGTTCCTTCATGCAAATTTGAAATAGTTTTACCAGGATCTGGGGAAAGAAAGGAAAACAACCTAGTAAAGCTGACGAGATTTATGTTTCTTTTCTTTTAATGAGAGATATGGCTCCATTTAGAACACCAGGCGGCTGAATAAAACTAGGACAAAACTTCCCATATGCAGAAAATCATCCAAAATTATCCACTGTAGAGATTCTCAATTCCAAAATCATGACCAGTATAAGAAAAGGACACCGAACTGGATGCAAGTTTACATCAAATCTCGTACCACAGATCATGTTGCAATTCTCACCACCTCTCTTTTAAATATGTCAATGAATGACAGTTATCCTGCCTGAGTTCTGCAGAAAAATTTTGCTGCTGTTTCACAAGTTTTTTGCAAAAAAAACTCGAAACACTTAACACGATGAGCGCTTTCATCAATATGGCATCATTTCATGCTAATATTTTCTCAGTAACATATCATTTTTTTTTCCATTCAGTTACTCAGGGGAGTTGGAAAGTGTATTTGGACAGCTCCAAAACCCCACCAAGGCACTGAAAATGTTTTGATAGCTGTTACCCATCACAGGCAAGACAAGACATGCCAGGATCCGCAAGGAAAGAATTGCTGTTCCTAATTTTCCCAACAAAGTCTTTTTTTAAGATCTTCAACCAGGAGAGGCTTGGTGCCACCACAACTTTATTAACTGGGCATATTCAAAGACTAAGGAACCGCAAATGCTACCGATGGGAAATGCAGATTGCTCAGGATTCTGCTCATGACATCAGCCTTACTCCATAGATTCCAGGAGACTGTAGGTGTACAAAATTGTCATTTAGCAGAAAAAGAAACAGTCACTGAAAAATAAGCCCAGATTAATTATTTATCTAAAACTGGCAAGCTTAGCAGCTGGTCATACAAAGCTGACTGTGGAGTACATACACTATATAAATCTTTTCAAATATATGTGTATGCAGATTAGAACTTGGTGTTATGTCAGTAAAATCGATGACAATAATCCCAAATGGGTTCAGTGGAAGCAGAAACTGATAGCAGAAATGTGTATCTTTTAGCCTATATACATCTGAACTACAATAAGTCACTGCCTATGATTCAGATCGTTGAAGTTCAGATGCTAAGCAATCCAGCAGGCCAGTAACAGGCAAGGCACGTGAGGCAATATTTTCCAACAGGTCTGACAGCTGCAACAAGGGCAGAAATTGAAGAGTGGTATGTTAATAAAAATTAATGTATGATTTCCCAGGGTGTTTATTCCCAGTTGATCCTTCAGTAATTGTCTAAAAACTAATACTCTACAAACAGAAGTAGCAAAACTTTGTTGGCACTGTAATATATGGGAGTTACGTATTTTGGGGAAAAAAAAACCACCCACATGTTTACAAAGTTATACAAGCTACACAAATGAACTTCCATTTCTATAAGAGCAGTTTAAACTATTTCACCTGATTCAGGTATCAATGACACAAATCACACTGCTGGTGTTTCTTGTCCACTGTGCTGAGAATAGCATGCTAATCTTAAAGAGGCAAGAGCTTTACCAGTATATTGGTAATAAATTCTAAGCTGTAGAGGCTCTTATGTAAGGATGACTGAACGAACATATGCTGTTTCTTTTCACTTACTGCAGAGTGCTTTTAGAGAAGCAACAAGATGGTATAAGCTAGAACTCAGGCTACGCATCGTTCATCAGTGCAATTCTAAACTGCCACCAGCATTCAGTACCAAGTAAAATTTATTCTGGATTTCAGTTAATTTTATAAAAATGTTGCAGGAGAAAGATTTCCTTCATTATTATACCAGGCATGAAAACTTAGGTTTCAACAGACTGAGTTTGTTTGAAAGTGATTGAAAGATTGCAGAAGAATTTTCAGGGTTCTGGCATCACGTTTCCTGAGTTATAGCTTCTTCACAGAAAGAACTGATGGATGCTCATACAAAAATGCTTCATTATAATATTCTTGAAATTTTTCAGATCCAAGTCAGACTGAGACCCAGGCTTGCAATACCTTGCCTAAAATATATCAGTAACCATGTTACTACAGTGACTGAACTATTTGCACATGGGACTGTTTCTAAGTAGGCAGCAGAGGAATTGGGTACCTGCACAAGCAGTTGCACAACAGCAATACAAGTGTATTATTAAAATAGTAAAGAGCTCTATGCATATTAAAAGCAGCCTGAACAGAGAGCTATTAATAGGTTGCACACGGAACAAATGAGATGTTCTGTGATGACAGCAGACTGCAGAATTCTTGCATTCTGCTACCCACAGAACATGTCAAAGCCTCAGATTTCAAAACAGTTTATGCCAGCAATACCAAGCGGATACAATCATCCAGTGTCTCTTCACAATGGGTTAAATCCTCGTGCCTTCAAATTGTACTTCAGGTATTTTTTAAACATTTGTTGAAACCACCATGATGAGTTGCCATAAGACATGAACTGAGATTTCCAGAACAGTTAACAAGAACATATTCTACATGCCTGAAGTACTCAAAGCCCAGTTTGAGTACACTCTTAAGATCACGAATTTAAGTACATTTAGGACTACAGGTGCCAAGCCATTTCATCTTGCACAGAAGTTCAATAGTGCATACGGGATGGTGCAGCTCCTGCTGCCATGGCTGTTAACCAGCAAAGCACCTGGAAACCAGGTCTGCGAGCAGTGGATTTGGCAGTCACCTTGTGCAGCTTTCCCTGCACTTCTGCCTTATAAACTACTCGTCACCACCAAAACCAGAGGCTCAATCAGGACAGTTTCACTGCTACAGGCTGGTGCAAAGAGCAAACCACAGTTCCACATTTATTCTGATCAAATGTCAGGGGATTTGTAAAATCAACTATGTACTTCATCAGCGAAGGATTCCAAAGAGGATTTCTAAAGACAGATGGAAGAGTTCCAAAAAAGATGTGAATGATAATCCAGAAACAGCTGGTCCATAGCAAAGAAATCATGAGGGTCAAAAAGGTAAATGCTGTCAAGTTGCAGTGAGCAAGGAGAAGCATGGAGTACATAAAAAAGAGACGTGGTTTAAATACTTCAGAAGTCACTTTCAACCTTAATGATTCCATAAAGAGAAATCTGCATGCTTAAGTGGCTATGTTCAGCTTTGGGCCAAACACCCAAAGGCCTACAGAAGCAGGAAACCCCAACCACCAACACTGAACAAAACAAAAACAACAACAACAAAAAACACAGCTATGAAGTGAACTGAAGTGAACATGCACAGGAGTTTGTTTTGATCAAGTGTGTACTATTAAAAGATTAAAATGCTTAATTAATAGATTTATGCTATAGATCTAAAATTAAAGAATACATGTTTCCCTCAGAAGTTTCAGTAAAATGTGCAACAGCTTACCTAGCATCACTGTGTCCTAAACCAAATTACCATGACAGAACCTCATTAATTAATATTTGTTTATTTTTTCCTTTAGATGTCATCTCTTTCTTCTACTTTACCTGAAGTGCACTACCACTACTTAGGAAAAAAGAACATTAAAACTCTCTGCAAGAACAGGGTAATAGGGAAGAGAACACGAAGTTTCACAGATCTGACGTTCTTTTCACATTTTGGTTAATTTAAAACAAGAATGCTAATAATGAAAAATCTAAATTACTTAACAACAAGCAAACAAACAAAAAACTAAGAGAATAGCAAAACAACCTCCCCCTTTCAGCATTTCTGTCATCAGAAATTTGGCAGTAGTACACATCCAAAGCTTTTATCAAATAAAGCCACTCATTTTTACATTGTTCCATCTGTTTTACTGTAAAATACTAGACATTACGTATTTACTGTGTATGTATTTCTTTTAAAATGTGTAAGTCTTATGTAAATGGTTATAAATATGATTTTTTAAAAATAAAATCTATGGTACATGGGGTCTCAGTGCAAACATTTGAAAATACAGTGTCAATAATACTGTTTGTATCTTTCCATTCCACCATTTTTACAGTTTTTGGATTGTAAAAGTCAAACAGATATGTTTAGCAGAGTTAGAAGCTTCAACATGTTCCTACTGAAAAAAATCTGTCAATATTTAAAGCTGAACACCTGCCTCTGATGATGTATAATAGTACGACATAACCTGGAACTGGAGCCAAAATGGGCCTCTAAACACAAAATGGAAATGTCAGATACTTATAGAGAAGCACCACGATGGCTCAACTCCTAAAGACACACACATAAACCCAGAAGAACTGTTTACAGAAAAAAAAAAAAAGAAAAAAAGAAAAAAAAAGCAATTTAATAAACACGATTTATATGAAAACCAAAAACTTTCTTCTATGTTACCTGCGGACCAAGAAGAATCTTGCTTTACCAAGAGCCACCTTTTCGTTCCAGGACCTTCAGACACCAGCCAGCATTGGAAAATTAAATCTAGTGACTGTATAGAATGAGATTCTCAAGTTTCCAAACATATTCCATGAAGAAAATGAAAGAGAAGCTAAACCCCACAATTTCTTCATCACAACAGGGCATTAGACAGGCTGCTGTCTAACGCTACGCTTTTAGCCAAGATGGCCTTGCTGAGACTTCACAGAAGTCTGTTTTATCAGAGGAAATAACTGAAAGACAGAGTGATTAATATATAGTGTATAAAAGTTTAGAAGAGCAACTATTACCTGCTGTGGCTTTATTTGGTGGTGTTATTGTTGTTTATTCTTTGTTTAAATGGGAAGTTTCAAAGTAAGACCTACTTAATAGTCATTTACCTATTTGCTATTTTTCTGCTGCTTGATCTTAGCTCAAGACCTGTCTTTTAGTTATTTCTTTTTGCAGTTTGATCTGCAATGTTTGCACGTACATAAACATTTGTTTTGTCTATTTTCATTTGGCAAACTTCAGTCAATCAGATGGTGAAAGATTTTTCTCCCCCAATGTCAATAAAAAAGAATTCAGTGCTATTTGTGTTTATAAATCTATTAAGCTTGCTACATAGTCGCATTAAAATAGTTCGGATGCCACATACCTCTCGTAGCTAACAAAGCCTAAGCACGTTTTGCAACCAACAGGTATGAGTTATGGTAAATTTACTGGTCATAATCTGCCACGAGAGGGCGCACGGAACTTAATGATGTGGCTGATAGGATGGCTGTGGATAGAACACAGCTGTACAGGGACACAGCTCCTCTACATACAGTTCCCTGGACTTAAACAGTGTTGCTGATGTCCCTTACTTTTCTCCATCAGCCCTCCTTCGAGCTACTTTGGTCCGAATGTCACAAAGTAAAGCAATGCAGAAACCATTGGAAGTGGTTGTAGTATCAGCTGAATACAATTCGCTATTTAAAGCCCAGTTCCAATTTTCCAGTACTTCTTCTCCAGCCTACACTGTGAAAACCCGCACACCAATTTCAGGGTGGGGGCACAGAGGAAAATGGGATACGTTAGGGAAGAGAATAAGCAAGTTCTTGTAACTGAAGCTCTAGGCATACTGCCCTAGATATAACCCCAACTTACATCCACAGTGAGGAAAAAAAAAACAGACCAGAATATTTAAAAACACTTAAAAAAAACAACCAAACAAACAAAAATTACTATTATGAAGTCCAGTTGTGATCTAAGGCTAGCATATAAAAACTCCTGGTACATTCCTGTCTCCCCTGTGTGAGCCAAGGCTTACTCCCAACAGTTAGGAGATATGGCTATGCTAAATGTCATCTACACAGCTCCAAACCACAACTAACGAATAAAGATTGCACCAATCCCTGGCCATTCAGATCTACCAAAGCATTTCCTTTTTATAAAAACAAAATTAAGAAGAAACAGTAATCTCCTATCACTTGTTAAATGCAATTGCTCTTCCTTGATTGTACAACCCTCTTGCTGGGCAGCAACAGACCCACATACAGGAATACCCACCTCTTTCCCTTTCCCCAGCTAGGCACTAGCCCAAACCTGTAAGCAAAACATTCTGCAATCACAGTTGCTCAGAAAAAAAGGCTCCTCTGGGAAACAAAAGCAATGTTTTTCCATAGTGCAATCCTGCTGCTCTATATCTAGGTTTTCTAAATGCTGACAAAGAAATCATTTGGTATTTCTGGAAACCTCTGCATGAGCAGGGCAGTAGTGAGTGCACCTGACCCCTCTGCCTCTCTCCTTCTCAGTCTTGATCTTGAATGATTTCCAGAAAAAAGAGGTATTAAAATATGCTCACAGCTTCTGAATTTGGCAACTGCTTACTGTTTAGTCCTCTGAAAAGCAAAGCTGAATAACTTTCCTAATTTTATACTTTTCATTTGTTTTTAAATGCATTTAATAAATTTTTAGAAGGATTTTCACATTTCTTGTTGAGTTAAAAACTGCAGATTGAGAAGTAATGCATTTAGAGCATGTATCTTCCATATCCTGGTCTGCTGAGTATGCTGAATGCATTTTGAAACAAGCTACATCATAACAAAAGGGCTGCCTAGTACCTGTATTTGCTAAATTTCTTAGCTATATATACATCCAATTGTGCCTGAAAACGTGTCCTGGTTGTCCTTCTCCTAAGCAGCAATAAAAGCCACCAAACAAAATTATAAAAAAAAAAATCCAAAGCATAAATGCCTGCATTTATTTAAAGTACACGTTTTCCATTCAACACTACCATGGATAAATCAAGATTTAACAGGTTTGAAAGTCAGAAATAATCTATTATTCTACAAAACAAAAAAAAAAAAGACACTTCAAAAAGTTACTAAACAAAGCATGTAGAAGAATCTAATTTATAACAGAAAGTCTTAGGGAAAAAAAAAAAAAAAAAAAAAAATCAGTGGAAACCAGAAAAGTAATTAAAAAAAATTAAAGCTCATAAAAATTTAAAAGGCATAAGGCTTGTAATTTTTAAGTGAGGACAAGTTATGCCTGCAATGACTTTCACATTAGGATTCCTACTTCGTGCTGTCTTCAGTTTGAATCTCACCTGCAAGATGTTTTAGTCAAACTCAAGTTACTGGTACCATTATGCAATAACAGACAGCGCAGAATCCACATCACTGGAGGCTGTCACGATGCAATTCAGCAGGGTGCTAGATTATCTCTTCTAGGAACCCTTTTTTCCTATGAAAGGCTAGATGTGATGGCCTTTTGAAGTCCCTTTCAACCCGAGCTTTTCTGTGATTCCACAATTCTATCACAGTAATACAGTGACTCCCTTGAAGGCTAGAGAGATGTATGAATTCTATTTAAAATTCTTAGCAATCTTATATTGCCTTCAATGACAACACACAGAGACTTCAGTATTCTTCACTGGCTGTGACAATATGGTAGAAGAACACAGTATAGTAGAAAAGTTAAAAAAAGTAATCCCAATCATTATCATTATTTGTTTTTAGAATATGTATTTCCTAATACAAAGTCTTTGCATGTTTCAGTAACAGACGCTTTCACTGGCCCATTATTCCATTTACTTTTTCTTCAGCACTTCTTCTATGTCTTTAAACACACTAGCATCTTCAATGGTTGGCGTTATCTGGAAAGGAAGAATATGCAAAAGCATTTAATGATAGATTGATGTCCTTCAACAGTGAATCAATTTTATTTCTGAATTTCAGAATCTTCTAAATCTAATATTCAAAAACAGTAAAGGGAAAATGATCTGGAAAGCTCTGAAACATGAGAATCTTATAAGTAAAACAGAGTAGAATACAATGTAGTATCTGAAGTCATGGACCGGCTCTAGTATGGTCTAGAGAATTAAAACCATGATGATGTGTCTTTAGATGTGTACATGTGCCTAATTCACTCAGGCATACAGCCCCCACTTACCTTATATGGCTTTCCACTGACCAGTGCAGAAAGAGCTGAACGTGGTATCTTGCCAGAACGTGTTTTTGGTAGCTGTTTCACAAACACCCCCTTCTGGAAAGCTGCCACAGGACCAATGTTATTTCGAACTTGCTCAACAATATCTTCCAAAGTCTTCTTCTCTTCTGCCTTTACATCTAGTGAAGAAGTTCATGTCCTTTAATAATTCTAGGACTCTTGCAGGTTTTAGTAACACCAGTAGAAATAATTTCTCACCGTCTCTCAGCACACACAGCGCAAAGGGAACGTGCCCTTTTAAGGCATCCTCCTGGCCCACAACAGCACAGTCTGCTACAGCAGGATGGCGGAGAACACACTGAGGGACAGAAAACAAAACTAAACTAGATTAATTTCAACATTTCAATTATGAAATTCCATAAGGAGGGACACAAAAATAGACTTACTGATTAAATACTGGCACTGGTAATTATTTAGTCAGTGCACTTCAGGACTCTAGTTACACACATTGAAAATGCATGTGTGAATACTTTCATAGGTGCCGATGTGTCTTTTTCAAATAAATTTAAGAAATAAAAAATATTGGCAGCATAAGACACAAATGCAGAATCATAGAATCATGAAATAATCTAGGCTTGAACAAAGCAAAGGTGTATCCTTATAGTTTTAGAAAAGCAAGACTATCACATCCAGGTTTTTGTTAGTGTGCTTTTTCCTGGAAAAAAATGTTAGTCTAACATCATGGATACTGTGGAGTTAAGGACTAAAACCTCAGGAACTCTCCTATTACAGGGCATATTCACTTTTGGCTCATCTTCGCTGATGCCTTGTATCTTTTCAGTTCTTTGCTTCATGAAGACAATTTCAACTAAAGCCAAATACAAGCCCAAGTCAGCTTGCTGCTAACTTAGTTCTCAGGTGACCAGCTTGGAAACATGAGGTCTCAACCTTCATAGACAAAAAAAGGAATTAAACCACAGCCTCCTGTTTTCTACCACACACATATGCAGTTTGACAAGTGATGGGCAGCAGCAGCACTATCTTGAACTATTTTCAGAAAAAAGATTCAGAGCTGCTCTTTTGTTTTCAGTCAGCCAGCTGAGATTCTTACTTCCTGAAAGAAAATCACCAAGTTGTCTCAATGGATACTGAGATATGTGTCACTAAATCAGGGGCTAAGCTGGACTTAAGACACCAGTAACCGAAAATCCTCTTCCAAAGCACCTAGCTTCTTCATGCAACTCCAGATCCCAGTGATATTTCACTGCATGATATAAACCTATTAGCCTGGGCCACCTCTAATCCATGAAGCATTCAATTTTGTGCTTTAAATACCCATTCTTTTTCTACTCTGCCTTCTTGACCCTGCCAGTAGCAACCTGACAGCCACAGAACTAAGAAAGAAAGAAAAAGATGAAACTACTTTTCATCTACTTTTCAGTGAATTGTAGGAAAGTAGACTGGTAAGATCTATATTAATTTCCTTCACTGGTCTATCCAAAAATCTCATCAATATGCCATTGCAACTGGGACAGGTAATTTTGTATGACTGGAATTGTAAATACTAACTTAAAAATTATCAGTTTCTTAAGATAGGCTGAAAAGATGAATGGAGAACAAAATCGGCACCAGTAAACAATTTTTAGGTAGCAAGTAAGATAAAACGAAGGAGCATTTTTTGGAATACGATCACTGGGCGCAAGGGACTTCTAATGCAGCAGCAGTCAGAAATCCCACTGTCAGAAAGGGCAACTTCACATCTGTTGCATTGGACAGACAAGACTTAATTTGGGTTAAAAAGAGTCCAGAGAGTCAAGCCAAACTTGGAATCACAGATATACAGGCAAAAGAGATGGACAGATCAACACAAGCTAAGCTTACCATACTGGCTAACATTCAGTGACTGGCAAGGTTAACAGTAGAGTTACCTTATCTCAGTAAAGATGGAGCTCCACTGATACTAACAGGGATAAGAAACTAACTGTTTGACTCATAGTGAAGTTGAAATTCTTAGCCAAAGCACTAAGAATATACTTATTAAGCTTGTAATGCAGCCACAATATAAACACAGATAATACACTTGCTCAACAAGGTAACTGACACTTAATTAGATGACTGTTCATTAAACCTCCAATTCTGTTTTAACTGAT